ACATTCGATTTCAACATCGAATTTTTTAAATATCTTAAAAATTGTCATATTTCCCTTTGACGATTTTGGAAAAATGGTGGGAAGTTTCGAAGAACTGAAAATTTCATGGGATCTAAATCAACAAAAAAACCTCGTTTGCTAAATTTCGAAGGTACTGAAATAAATATGAAAATTTCAATTGAAAAATTGAGTTACCGAAAAATTCACAAAAAATTCTGGGAGATAAATTTAATCGAGCTGAATCTAAAAATATGGCGCCTTGAAGGTTCCAGCCCAAAGTTGAAGGCTAACATCGAATTTCAGATCAGTTTTTGTTAAGAACGTGTTTAGCGCAGAAAATAATCTCAAGTCGATGCGACGACTGATCTGCGAAATATACAGGTTCAAATTTAAATTTTGGAGATATCGCAAATTTGTTACCTTGTAATCATTTTGTCGATTTATTGTTCCATTACTAGTGGCCAATAAAAAAATAACCATTATTTTCTTACTTAATTTGAAATTTTCAAGAGTTTTTTTCATTAGACTACACCTAGATGATTTTATTTTGTTTTTCTTTAACCGCAGTCAGAAATATCTAATTAACTATTCATAATTATATATTTAATTTTATCATAATTTCTGTCGAAACCACACCCATTGTTGCCGCCAACCACAACTGATAATAATGATCTTAATGTTAACAGAATTATGGCGACTTAAAAGTTCAAAAAAAGAATGTATTGAAAAATTAAATTTTTCGCGAAGGTGCTTAAAAATCCACAAAACATTCTGGGAGATTTCGGCCAACTGAATCTAAAAATATTCCAGCCCCAGATTGAAGGCTAACATCGAAAATTTCAGATCAATTTTTATTAAGAACGTATTTAGCGTTATTTCGGAAAACTGGGTCGCCAAAAATTATCAAAATAATTCTGTTTACGAAGGAATGATGGATCTATCAGGGAAAATAATTCCAAACCGATATAACGACTAGTTTTCGAAATATTCCATTCAAGCTCGAATTTTTTTAATACATATCCAAAAAAATTCGTATTTCATTTTGACGATTTTGGAAAAATAGGAATTTTCGAAGAATTGAAACCTTAAAAATTTCATGGGGTCGAAATCAACAGAAAAAATCTCGTTTGATAAATTTCGGAAATGCTCGAGGAAAGGTCAAAAATTTATTAAATTATCTAATAAGACACAAAACATTGTGTGAAATAGATTTCGACCTGAATCGAAAATTGAAGGTCTTAGTCCTTGGGGGCTAACATCGAAAATTTCGGATCAATAGTGACACTTTTGTTGTGGTTAAAAATTAGAAAAAAAATCCTGCTTACGAAGAAATGATGGATCTATCAGGGAGAATAATCCCAATTCGATATACCGACTAGTTTTCGAAATATTCGATTTAAATAATTTTTTTAAATATGTCAAAAATTGTCATATTTCATTTTCATAAATTTGGAAAAATGGTACGAATTTTCGTAGAAGCCTTAAAGAAATTCATGAGGTCGAAATCATCAAAATATCTGTTTTGTCAAACATCGATGGTGCTCGAGGAAAGGTCAAAAATTTCAAATGGAAGCTGAAAAATCCAGCTTTTCACGAAGTTACCAGAAAATCCACAAAACCTGCTAGGAGATAGATTTCGACGAGCTGAATCGAGGTGGGTCACCAAAAATGATTTAAAAAATCCTGTTTATGGGATCTAAATCAACAAATAAAATCTCGTTTGTTAAACTTAACAAAGATATTCAAGGAAATGTCAAAATTTCTATTGAAAAATTGAGTTTTTCAAGAAATTACCGAAAAATTCTGGGAGATAGATTTCGTCGAGGTGAATCCAAAAAAAGGCATGTTAATGGTCCCGGTCCAAGATTAAGAACGTATTTAGCGCGGTTCCGGAAAAAATAAGGCAGCAAAAATTATAAAAAAAAATATTAGTTACGCAGGAAACATCGTTCTATCAGGAAAAATAATCTCAAGTCGATGCGATATCTTAAATTTGGCACCTCAACTATAGCGCTGTGATCATTTTGTCCATTTATTGTACAGGCTGTTCCATTACTAGTGGCCAATGAAAAAATAAACATTATTTTCTTATATAGTTTGAAATTTTCAAGTTTTTTTCGTTAGACTAGACCTACATGATTTTATTTTGTCTTTCTTTTTTAATCGCAATCAGAAATATCTAATTAACTATTCATACTTACATAATTTTATCATAATTTCTGTCGAAACCACAGCCATTATTGCCGCCAACCATAAGCACAATTGATAATATCACCTTCCTATTAACAGAACTATGGCGACTTAAAAATTTTCCAACTTCATTTCTCAATAAAAATCTAAAAGTTAAATTTTTCAAAACCGGAAACATAACTTCATTGAATAAATGTTATTCTACCTCCATAATGGTCTAAAGTTACACTAAAGTTATTTACTTAGACAGAAAATGTTCGTAAACAAATTATATATTTTTCAATTAAGCATAGAAACAAGAATGAATTTTTTTTTATTTTACTGTGACAATTTTTCAAAACATTCAAGTTGAATTAAAGCAAGCCCAAAGTTTCACACAGTGGAAAAGCAGCCAGATTCAGCAGTCTGTTTTATTAATTATTATTACCTACAACAAGTAGGTGAATATCAACAAATTTGAATAATTTTCGTATAACACCCCCTTAAAGTGAAATATTAAACAGTACTGAATATGTAAATTGTGTCATCAAGTCATCATAAATTCAGACGATGTGGTATGTTGTTTCGTATTCTAGCAAATATGTACGTTGAGATTGTACTTTTAAAAATATTTTATCAAAATAAATAGGAATTTAATAAATAAAACGGTAATTATTTTAAGGCAGTTTACCGAAACATTCACCTCTTAATAGTGATATCTTAGATTAAAATCTAAGATAAAGTTAGTCTAATAGATATTATGTGCATATTTAATAAAGCGTTAGATATTTTTAAACTGTATTTCAAGTATAGTGTGACCAAATATTCTGTAACCATGGTTTTCAATAGGACAATATTGTGACGAATTTCTTAAATCGCTTGCCAACTTAATACCTCACCAAAGCACGGAAAAAAACGATAATAACAAGCGTATTAGGATGAAAGCTTTTGTCGTCATTACGAAGAGCCGGTCTTAAAATTGCCACCCTAACTTATTAGTTGCGTATGCGTCAAGGCATCATTTACCTTTCCCATAATGTAGGTTTTTTTATCTCAGCGAAAAGACAGTAATGTCTGACTTTATGATATTGTAAAAACTGAATTGCCCATTGCTTTACTAAAATATGAAAATATTGGAGTCCCGGGGACATTTAAAATTTATTGCAACATTTATAACATCTCTACAAAATGAGTGTAGGACCTACATAATTCCACAAGCCTGCAGTGTTTCAATTCGCTGTTTTTCATCAACAATGAATAATGCATTGTGTTTTAATTACATTTATGTGGCTATTACAAAACAATCATCCCCAGGACCGTTTTGCTAATAGATGAGTTTAGCTGAAACATGGCTGCTCACTTTATAATTTAAAATACTTTTATTATTTTTTAAAGTAATAAATTCTACGATATCATTAGTTCAGATAGTTTTTAGATTACGACCGGCTGTAAATTCATTCAATACCGCAGCCAATATTCCAACTAACCGAAGCACTGTTACTTTCAAATTACTTTATCTTTATTATAAAAGAAACCACAGTACTGGAAAATAAGTTTAACTCGGTATTTAGTACGTCATCGTCATGATGGAATTTTTTTAATGCCTCCATACCAATAGAATGTTCCTACAAAAACCTCATAAATTATATGATACCATTTACAAAATAGATGTTAGTATATACAAAAGCCGACAGCAAATTATGTGGTACGCGTTGTGTAGAATTTGCTCTTTAAGCTAAAATCAGTGGTGTTTATTTACAGAATTTCAGTACCTATATTAATTAATCTCGTGGATTTTTATGTGAGACATTCTGTATGCCGTGTTCTTCATTAACCAGTAAGCAAATATACTCTACTTTCACGTGTCACGAAATCTGGAAATAATTATATTGTTCATTTTCGTGGAAGTCAACCCAATCCAAATTTAAGACGTCTCCCCTATGAAAACTAATAACCTAATCAATGAAATTCAATCCATAAAATCGATACGAATAACTTACTATTGCTCCAAGTATTTATACACCAAGTATAAATTGACTTGAATTAAGTTTGTCCACTACAAATAATAAATGAGCACTGATTACCTCAATTAATTTAATTTTAATTATCCAGCGTCCCATTCAAATATTCCGCGCGCAAGACAGTGACGCAACATCGGGCGCACCTTTTGTTTCTTAACCTTGAGGCAAAAACTGACAGGTGCTATGGCAACGTCCTTCCCTCTCCTTTCAACAAACGCATTCCCGATACCGTCGTCTCTATCGTCGAGTCCAAACAAAAACACCGGATGGTTTGATTTTATAATGTGAACATGTGCAACTGTTGAGTTTCTCAAAGAACAACGGAAAACCGTTTAAGTTCAGTTTAATTCGTTTAAAACAACAATTTTCCAACTTTAAATCGACAATTACTGGGTGTTTGTGCTCAGTCACGTGGAAATAATGTTCGATAATTGGTTGGGCACACTCAAAAACCACACAAATAGCATCGGTGATTTAATGAAAGAAAAATCGAGAAAATTCGTTTCGAATATCAATGCGTTGAGATACGCCGGAAAAAGGAAAACTACGTATTATACAGTTGCACCCCGCGAAGACAACGACTATTTCGATAACGACTATCTGTCACCTCGAGCCTATTCGATGACCACGTTCAGCATAGACTATAACTCGGTGAACGAAAACATGGAGTGGTTTCCGTACGTGCCCCCTTCGTACGACGAGCACAACATCGTTGATCGGTTCATTAAAGTCATCACAGTCAATGACGACATCCTAGATGTAAGCCCCCACACTGCTTGAAACTCAGTCTAACTTTCGTTATTTTTTCAGAGACGGACTGACAGAGAGGAGATTCGCCGCAGACTGGCCATGGGTTCCGAAGACGACTACTACACTGACAGACCAGGCAGGAAACCCAGCCTGCAAGCTAGACTCCAAAGCGGCATGAATCTCCAAATTTGTTTCATGAATGAGACTGTTTCTGACAATGAGAGCCCCAATTCGGACACGGAGTGCCCCATGACGAACCCTAAACAACCAAAGACTTCTCCAAAGATCCTTAATACTCACTCTCCGTACCAAGAAAAGGTGGTTATACCCCCCACAAGACCGGCGACTTTGTCCATTGGTCAGCCGTTGTTACAGCCCGTAACCCAACCCATGACTGAGACTGATTTCTTTGCAAGACAAGCACGACTACAGACTGAGGCCAGGATGGCACTGGCTCAAGCCAAAGAAATGGCCAGGATGCAGATGGAGATTGAGAGACAGAGACAGAAGAAGAGTCCTATAACTGAGATGGTGCGCAACAGTCTGGAGAAGGTGGGAATCCCGTTTCCAGAGGAGAAGAGGAGGCTGTCGAGACAGATTTTGACTGAGATGAATGTGGCTCAACTCCAGGTTATTGTGAATGATTTGCATACTCAGATAGAGAGTCTTAATGAAAGTCTGGTGAAGTTCTTGATGGATAGGGATGATCTGCATATGGAGCAGGATTCCATGCTTGTGGATATTGAGGATCTCACCAGATATTTGTAAGTGTGTTTAGTATTATATTTTATCTCCAAAAACTACAGTAAATTTTTTAAACAACTAATTATTTTCTTAGTTAAAATTTCATCAACACCGCAATTTGCCTTACACATAAACTGCTCTAAAATATTGTAATTTAAAATTGTTTTTGAAACCTTATCGTGCGTTGTAAATAATGTATAACTGTGCCCAACTTGCTGTTTTGAGATAATTTAAATTCCAAGTATGAATACGCTAACGTGAATATTCCATGACATTTGTATTGATTTTCAATCTTGTTATTTTTCAACTTTACTACGTTTTAAAAATCCGGTAAACTAATACACACTACAGTTCATTGTGTGGCATTAAAAATATATTACTCTGAAATGGTGTTGTTTTCATCTCCATGACGTTGATTGTTGTGGTATCAATATCTTGATTACCGGACTGCAAACGGAAAATTATTGTGGTTTACAGATACAATACACGAAATAATGAAGTCATTATTTAAATGAAATGAAAAATTCTAACATGCAAATTACTGTTATCAGAAAATCTAAATAGCTTCATTTGTTTGTCGCAGTAACATACTTTAGTTAACAGCTTTGTATGGTTTGAATAATGAATCATTTTATGAATATTATTTGTAAAGTAGTGGCCCAATTTATAAAAAATAAACACTAATCAGTCTGATTGATAGAAGTTGTACATTTACATGATAAACTTCGTTAATGTGTGTTTGTGTTATCAGTATTGGATTCCACACATTCTTCTGAAATTACGAACAATTACAGCAAAAAATTGTTTTTCGAGTGGACAGCATTAAGTGATTCCGTGTCAAGTGCTCGTTATCGTGCATTATTTAAATTTATTATAACGCTAGTTGATATATTTGTTATTGTTTTTTAGTGTTTTGTTGTCTGGGTGTAATGACATGAAATCTGACAAATTTTCAAACAGTACAGTTATGTTGCCACATAAAGTGATTACAAGTGAATATATTTGCAGTCCAATTAATTCCCAATTTTTCATATGTAACCTAATATAAAATTCTGTCTTATTATATTGAAGAACATTTTTACCAAAACAGTGATGTGTATGTTTTAATATTTCCACCAACGATTTAATGACGTCATTCCAAAATCTTGCTAGGTAAATCCTATTAAAATTTCATAAACAAACATGTTTTGTATTAGTGGTTTATTAATCCGGCCAAATTTTTTGTCGCAGACATCTAGACTTTTCGAAAAAAAAAATTAAAATCTACTATCACGTCAAAAATATTTCAAGGATTTTGTAGTCATCCTAAATTCTAATCAAAATGTATCCTCTTTTATAACTTGATGAAAATTTTGCTAAATACATCCTGTCAAATTTGTGCAAAATTGTATGCATATGTACGCGTCAGTGCACCCATATTTTTGAGAACACCGTATGTAGAATGTCTCAAAAAATTCATGAATGAATCAGTTTATTTTATTGATTTAATCAAAAATAGATTGCCTCATTTTCCTGAAATTCCTGGAAAACTATACCGTTGTTGTTTGATTGTGCGAGGGAGGTTTTATTAAGTAATCGAACAATTTTTTACTTCCCGAGCGTAAGCGAAGAACGTTTCGTGACTCCTAGAGAATGAAAAAATAGGGCTCCTATTTCCGCCTATCTGCCGTCGCTGTGTCGATTTTTATTAGACAAATAATCTCCGAAACTCCTGGACGGATTGTTGTCAAATCCACCAACACTTTGATAACGTCACCTCAAAATTTTGTGTAGTCAACATTGTTTACATTTTATAAAATAAAATACTCCTACACTTGTGGCTTATGGATTCGCTTTGATTATTAACCACAAAACTTGACAGGAATGTTTATGCAATATTTTTTTTAATTTGTTAGTTTGAAGTACTTTTTTTTTTATTCAAAAAACTATCAAATTTCAATGAGCGATTCTGAAAAAATGGTAGGAGTTTGAGGCCGAAAGGAATTTCTGGATATTGAAATCAAAGGAAAAATTTGAAAAATTTTTGGTTTTAAAGAGTTGACTAAAAATCCTCCAAAAATTCTGGGATATAAATTTCGAAGTGCTGATTTCAAAAATATAGCGTTTTTATGGCCCCGGGGTTAGATTTTAGAAATATTCGGTTTGAAGTGCAAAGGGAGATTCTGTCGAAATAACTTTTTAACCTTACAAGGATTATAAAAATAAGATTTCGCTGAATCAAAATTTAGCATTTTCCGAAGAAGCGGTATTTGTTAGAATTCAAACCAATTTTTTTATATATACTGTATTGAAATTTTCTGCCGTTTTTTTAAATATAGCAAGTTGGTGCTCTTTATCAGTTTTTACATGTTTGATAAAGTTATGGGGGAAATTGCACTTGTAATATATCTATATTTAAATTTTAATTGTCATTTCAAGATAGTACAAACACGCCTATAACACAAATAAGTCGAACAATTAAAAAAAAATGTCCAAGGTTATTTCGACAGAATTTCCCTCGCCCCAGTATAACTCCGGCTTTTCCGAAAATTGTAAAATTTGAGTTTGCGAATTTTATTTTTTATGACTTATATTTTGCCTTTTTTCTTAATATACATAGCCAACTTTTTAAACTTAGAACATAGTCAAAATGGTACATTTTTGCAAAGAAATATGGATTTTGCAATTACGGGGCGGAGTCTAATTGCAAAATCGATATTTCCTTATATACATTTTCCACTTTAAACATGTTTTAAGTTTCATGTTGTGAAAAGAAGTCTACACATAATAAAACAAAAAGGCAAAATGTAAACCCGCCCACCCGCCCTATCTCAATTGTGATGATTTTTTTATTCGCCGTGTACTAAGAGGGGCGGAGCTTTACTGCAAAATACTTATTTCTTTACAACACGATACTCAAAAACACGTTGTTAAGTTCTCGCAGAAAAATAAGGATTTTGCAGTTAAGCTCCGCTTTATTGGCTCACGACAATAAAAAAAATCATCAGAATTGAGATAAGGCGGGTGGGTGGGGCTTATATTTTGCCTTTTTTCTTAATATCCATAGCCAACTTTTCACACTTTTACGTATGTAATGTTAAACTAAAGGTAAAGAAGCGGATTTTTCCATTACAAAATTTTGTGATAACGTCATCATTTTTTGCAAAGACACGTATATCGGTATCTATATACAGTACCGTATTTCCAAATTTTCGGGAAGATGGAGTGAGTCGTTCTTAATTTAATCAACCCAGTAAATTGCCTCAATTTTTTTTTTAATCATCTTGTTTAAGTATTTGTAAAAACGATTAGTGCATTGATAAAACCACAAGTATAGAATATCACATTTTGCATATTCATAGAGAATTTATTCGGCAAAATGTTGAGGTGGCGTCATCAATTTTTTGTGAGGGGATAAACGAATAAATTTTGATTAACGATTTTACTGTGATTACGATAACCTTAAAACGTTTGGAAGATTTCATAGCATTCGGTTTTGCAGTTTCAAAGTTAAATTGCTAAATATGGTTATACAATTTTGATTTTTTTTTGCTAAGATTTAGATATCTAGGGTGAAAACGCAACATGGATTCATACAACACACGTGCAGGAGTACCTTATTTTATAAAATTAAAACAAAAATTATTATTGTAAATTGGTGGTGGGGATGATAGCCAACCTTTGGTTAGCGTTTTGCCGTCTACACGATGTTCTTAATGTACTTGTAAAATTTGATAACAACTGATCTGGTAGTTATCTGTCTAATAAAACTTGACAAAGACGACAGACACGCAAACAGACGGGATCGGGCGACCACTTTTTTCGTATTGTATGGGTCATGAAGCGTCAAGAAAACATGTAAGTGGCAAGTTGTCCGATGACATCGATTACTATACTCCTTAGCTTACGCTCAGGACGTAAAAATTCGCTCCTGAAGTACAGTCGAACAAATACAGCTTCTTCAAAAAAATTATTAAAAAAATACTTTGCAAATTTTATTCTTGATTACAACCTCTAGACTTCAAATAAGGATATGTGTAGACTGTTAAAGCACTTAACTTCAACTGTTTATGTTTATACATTGAAAGACTTCGACAATTAAGCACGTATAAAATGCTCCGAGCAACATTTCGACAAGGACACGTATATCAATTCAGTTCTGTATTGTCAGATTGATTCTTGATTTGATTAAATAAAAAAATGGAATGTAAATGTGCTAAAGTACAATAAAACAAAATTTAAATAGTGTTGACACTGGAAAATTTTAAAGTGACGACATTCAGTGTTCGTGGAGATGATTACACAAATTTTGGTTGGGCAGTTTGAACACCAAATTTTACAGTATATTTTAAACTGCAACTTTTTCTAAAATTTACAATTCATTTCATTTAATGTCAACGCGTCTAAAAATGTCTACAATTTTGCGCTTTTTCATTTTAGACAGGGTAACAAAAAGTACTCCAGTGTCCCATTTTCCTTAAATTAATGTTAATTATATGTTTTGGAATAGATGGAATGTATAGCGGCTCGCTGTGCTCGCTAAAACCAATGCTACATGACTTTCTAATATATTTTAGTACGACCAACTAATAATAATTTAGTTTTGAGTTCTATAATTGTGGAAATGAACTTTCAACTTTTGATTACACACTTTAAAATATTTATATTGCATAATTAACAGTGCGTTAATTATATTCAGGCACGTCGTAGTGTAACCTCTCACGGATAGTTCTGCAATTGGACATGTGTAAACAGGTTGAATATTAATTAATCATCAATAGATACTCTCTGCTAATTGCAAATAAGCAAATCCCGATCTTCAACCATTAATTAATGATGCTGCTGTTTGTGCGTAAATGGAAACTGGAAAATTGTACTTCCATAGTTTCCATGTGTTTCTTTATACGATTTATTGAATTTATGATTTAATATTACTTCCAAGTTTTAACACAATTTTAACGATGAGTGTTGCATAAAATTCTTTGCACTAGTAATTGCTACATTGTCGACTTAAGTATCATATTCCGCTAATTAATTGATGAGTTAGGGTAGGTCTTTAAACGTCATTAGCACCAGATTATAGTGGTTAGTAAATGCTTAATACGGTAATGCACAGACCGAATATTTCGTAGTTGGAAAGTACAATGTAGCGTCAAAATAGAAACTGACTTTTACTTTTACTCCTTGAAAACTTACGATTGTAATGCGTATTTTTTGTTGCAGGGGTGCCAAGGAGCAAGTTTTCAAAGAGCAAACGTTGGCTCCATCCCAAAACAACAACATACCTCCTCCTTCGCCAGCCCCCTCTTCGCCACTAGCTGCTTTGAATAGTAGCATGAAACCCCATCTTCATAGGATAGCAAGTCTCGTTAAGAAATAACATAATCATTTAGTACTCCACTACAATTTGTACTGTAAATAGTTTTCGTAGTTGTTTGTGTTCTGGCTAATAGGCTTCAACAGGTAGATCTAGAGAATTAATTTAAAGCAAAATTCTTTAGTTGGAAAAAAGTGAGTTCAACTTGATACGTAAGATTTGAAATTTACATAATTAGCGTTTTAACGGTGTGTAAAGGTGACGTTTTACTCGTTGCCGGTGTTATTTTTGTAATAATTTCGTAGTTGATTATTTTTATACTTTTGACATATCAAGGTAGTTTATTTAAAAATTTTCTCATATCGTCACGTTATTAATGTAAATACTTAACTACATAATTTTATGTAGATGTTGAGCTTATAACTGTATAATATGGTTGTGTTCCTCAAAGTTTCAGAAACATAGTGTTACAAGCTAATTCAATTGAATGAGACTAGAGACAATATCAATTTTGCATGAACTGACTTTAAGTAAGTCAACTGAATCTCAAGTTGTATTGGTAGTACTTATTAGTTTTCTCGTATTTGTACTTGAAAACTTGTGGTCCAGTTTATCAACGTAATATAATCAGTCATACCTTCTCTTAGACACCAACTGTAATATATTATGAATTGACTGAAGCTTTCTCTGTACATATGAAATTAATGTAGACTTACGTACCTATCTCTTTAAATATACAAACAGCTTAAACAATTTGGTGTTACAGTTAAATTTGAGAATATTTTCAACTATTTGAAGAGGTAGAATACTTGCCATGTGTAGATATTATAGAAATGATTCCAAATAGCTTCACCAATGTATATTTAATTTAATAATTTAAATTATTCTTGATAATTTTCTATGCGAGTATATGTCAATGTGCCATAACAACCTTACGTTTGCACAGCACATATTTCATTTCCTTTAAAGACTGCACTTGTATCCAAAGACAACTTAATCTAATGTAAATTGTTTCTTGAGAAAGAAGAAATGATTATCGAATGTTATTTATTGTAATACTAAAAACTCAATCATTGTGAATACAAAAAGCTTAAATAAACTACTCATAAACACACGTCATTTTTTTACACCACTCTATATACAGTCCCTTAAATTAGAAATTTTAATGTACACCTTAACACTAGATGAAATTAATTTATTTTATAATATAAAAAGAAATATAATTGATAATTTGTATCACAATGTCGCTTATCGCCTTTGGCCGCCCCCACCACTAGCCAAGATGGTCGCAATCCTGATGAAAATATTCAGCGTGTCCAAATAAATGGAAATCGCCCTAAAACACCCCGTCAAACATTAATATCCCCGATTCACCCTCAACTTACGCATTAATGGGGTCGTAGTTCCTCACTCCATACAATTTTGGACTCGCAGGATAATTTTCAGCTTGCTTTATAATCCTCTGCGTGTCATACAACAAGAAAGCAGAGAACAAAAGCAAGCCTCCGTAAATCGACATGGAATATAAACCAGCGCCCAGAGCCGTAGTTGGTGGAAGGAAAGCGCTACCAATAGACGCTGCAAAAACTACCCCAAATCCCATCGCCAAAGGGGCTCCCATGTTCAAGAATTTCTCGCTGGGCGCACACACGGCTACCGTGCTCAAACCGCCCACCACTCCGGCGGTTAGCCACGCAGCTCTCATCAACAATGGGCCTCCCAAGAAACACAATGGGGCCAGCACGGCACCCATGGTACCAGCATGGACGAGCCAAGCGAGCTGTTTTGGTCCGACGCCCTCCTGGTATTCGATGCCCTGGCAGAGCATGCCGGTGCCCATCATAGCTCCTAGGGTTATCATGATACCCTGAAGCGAAATTATGTTAAAACTAAGTGGAAACAAAAATGGGATTTTGTACCATCCAGCCGTTCTTTGTGACCAGGTTCATGATGGCGGGACTGCGAAAAGCTGCCATGGCGCTAGCAGCTGTTATTGCAATCGAGCTTCCAAAGTACATGTATGTGGTTTTTATGCGGTCTCGGACGTACTGGGGCCAGATACTGTAAGAGATGCGCACATGTTTTGTATTTAGAACAACTTAAATGACTCTAGTTTTTTTCAAAAGTACTTGAAAACTACTAGCCGAATAAGAAACATTTGGACTAAATACATTATTTTGAACGTTTTGAACGAGAACAAAGTTTTTAAATGCATAGCTGTAATAAAAAAAATTATAATATTGAATTCGAAGTAAGTATTTAAAAAATAGGTCAGCACACCACGTCATATCTTCAGTGTCAGCAGCAGGTCGGCAAAGGAGTTCAATATCATTAAAGGTGCAGTTACATAAATAACGTCTCTCAATTTTCTACTTTAAAATATAAGATAGTTGGACAAAACCCTATTTGCCCCTTCAAAAAGTTAAGAAAATTGTTTAAAGAATTCGGTATGAAAATGGTTTATAGTGAGTGATAAAAACCCTCGTCTTTTTTTCGGAAACGCAGGTCCTATCTAGAGAACCACCACAATGCGCAGATTCATTGTTACATTGACACTGTAACATCTGTTGTTTGGATTTCCGTGTTTCGTTCGGTTGCTTATGCTTAAGAAATGTTTAGAAGCGATGACGGCTATTTTCGTCTTTTGTTATAAATTTATTATAAACACATTAACAAACGAAATTAATTTTATTTCAAGTTTTCATCATTTCACTTCATTTTTTGCCATATCGCGTAGAATTAATGCCCCGGGAGCCCAAGATGATGTTCATACATGCGTATCCTAGATTTGAAATTTAAATTTCGCGCTGAGAGAAAAAAAACCGCCGCGAAAGCGCATTTGAAAAATTTTAAAATAAGAAACATCAAAGTATTATAGGCAATCAGCGTATCGGGAAGTAGACAAAAAAAAGTCAATAGGGGGTTTGGATTGCAGAGGACCAGGTAAAAATTTGAGGATCGCCTGACACTTTTTGTGTAACAGTGCTAGTGTAAACACGTATTAAAGGTAAGAGTAGGTAAAATTAGTTTGTAATTTCATAAAAGGGCAAACACCCTAGACTGGAGGGTGTGGGATTAAATTTGTACTTGTTTTTTTTTGTTTATTTATTAATTTGTATGTTACCGTTCGACAAGCTGAATTTGGAGATTTTATTGCTGAGATATTTACATAAAGTGATGTCTGATGTGTAATTTGAATTAATGCATAATTTAACATTATGTAAATTTTTTGTTTTCTGGTCTACTTGAAAAAAAAATGCTGAGTCTATTTCTTGTAACTCTAATATTCATTCAGTTCTCGTTATAATTTCGAGAAACCTAAGATTTGAATTTTAATTCAAATAAAAGCACAAGATCACTGGCGTAAGCGGGTTTTTAGTTCAAGTTTGTGGTTTTTGTCATTTGCCCTAATGGGTTTTTAATTATTGTAAACTTCATCAGGAGACCCGCGTCCGCGTAAATGTGCATTTTGGGAATAGCTGGATGTTTTGCGAAGACGGGGTAGAGATGTAATATGCGGCAGGTTTTTTGGCACAGAAATAGGATGTGTTACACCTGTCTGCAGTGTAAAATTATTGAGGAATTTAAATTTGCTGCCACATCATCGTAATGACTTGTGTATTACTATCCAGCTATCTACTAGCCCCGCCCACCCGCCGTTTATTTTCTTAGAGGGTCTGTCATTTAACAAAATCAGTCTTATCTTAGCAAGTACTAGACCCACGCGCCCACGCTCTTCTCATTCTAACGATTTTATTTTTGTCCAGTATAAGATCCATCTTTCATTCGGAGCAGATAAAATGGATCACTGAAATACAGGTGGAAATCAGTCTTAGCACCTACTAGCCCCGCCCACCCACCCTCTCTTTTCTTAGAGAGTATATCATTTGCCAAAATCAGTTTTATTTTAGCAAGTACTAGCCTCGTCCACCCGCCTTCTATTTTCTTAGAGGCTGTGTCATTTGCCAAAATCAGTCTTATCTAGAACTAATTTCACCACGAAAGGTGACAGGGGCGGGGCTTAAGTTGCGCGACTTGTAGTGAGACTAGCAGTGGCGTAACATCCATGTATTGAGAATTCTTTCCAAAACAATTAAAAAAGAGCAATTTCTACAAAAGAATGGAGAGAAAATAGACTTACGTAACAATAAATTATTTTAATATATCACAAAAAATTTGGTATTTAATCAACAGTTAAATCTTTAGATAAAAGTCTGAGAATTAGCAACCCATGCCTATAATTATATGGTTTTTAATTTTCTGCCACAATTTGTTAACACCGTAAAGCCGGATTATAATAAGGCTTAACGTTTTCTGTCTTTAACACCGAAGTAATAATAATAATCGGTAATAATCACAATTCATATTTTAGCATAATTGTCGTTTATAGAGCACGCTGTACGCTTTTTCATTGAATTACGACTGTAATTACGTGATTTTGACGTTAGTTGGTATTTTCTGTTTTAAACAACAATTTTATTCAACCCATACGACCTACTCTTCTAAGAAAAGGTACTAGTCCCGCCCACCCACCCTTATTTTTTTAGAGGATATGTCATTTGCAAAAATCAGTCTCATACTTGCCAAGATAAGACTGATTTTGGCAGATGACCTATTCTTTATTTTCTTAGAAGAGTAGGTCATTGGCCAAAATGAGTCTCATTTTGGCAAATACTAGCCCGACCCACCCGCCTTTTATTTTCTTAGGGGGTAGGTTATTTGGCAAGTGCTAGCCCCACCCACCCGCCCTTTGTTTTCTTAGAGAGTAGATCATTTACCAAAATCAGTCTTATCGTAGCGAGTACCACTAGATCAGTTTTCGATTTTTCAACTTTCGAATTTTTCTATTCCTCGCTTTTTAAATTTTCAATTTTTTTATCTATCTTTCGATTTTTTATTTCTCTGGGCAACTGAAAAAACCTTTCGATTATTTAATTTTACAATTTTGGCAGTTTTCCTAATACTCAATTATTTGATTTTTAAAAATATCCAGAAAATAGAGGTTTATCTTTTTAAATTTTCGATCTTTGATTTTTTGTCAGCGGGTTTTTGGAAGGGAGTAAAAAGTAATTTTGATCAGCAATATGCCATGTTTACCGTAACTTTAAAACATCTGAAAATTTTGTTTCTAATTTTCAATTTTGGATTTTTCGGTTTTTCAAAATTTGTTCTTTTGGTTAAAAAATCGACAAATGACACATCATGAAAAGGAAAAGTTTCAACTTGAGAACTTGAAAAATAAAAAAAAAAATAAAAAAATTCAAAATTGTAAAGTTAAAACTTGAAAAATCAAAAAGATTGGACTTAAAAACTGCAAAATTGTCAAAGAAACCATCAAATAAAATATTCAAAGGTTGAAAAATCTAAAAACTAAAATAAAAAATGAAAACTGGAGTTTCGAATTCGATTTTATAAGATTTCTTTTTTGCAATTTTTCGATATTTCAATTTTTGATTTTCCCATTAAACAGTTGAACAATTTTCCGATTTCTCATTTATCCGATTTTTCAATTTGTCATTTTTTGATTTTTAAGTTTTTTTTATTTTTAGCAAGTACTAGCCCCACCCACCCAGAAGATAGAAGACAAATCTTAGCAGAATAAGTAAGTCATCTGCCAAAATCAGTCCCATCTTGACCAGTACTAGCCCCGCCCACCCACCCTTTATTTTCTTAGAAGAGTGGGTCATCTGCCAAAATGAGTCTTATCTTGACAAGTACTAGCCCCGCCCACCCACCCTTATTTTCTTATAAGATATGTCATTTGCTACAATCAGTCTCATACTTGCCAAGATAAGATTGATTTTGGCAGATAACCTACTCTTCTAAGAAAATAAAGGGTGGATGGGTGGGGCTAGTACCTTGTCTTAGAAGAGTAGGTCATTTGTCAAAATGAGTCTTATTTTGGCAAATACTAGCCCGGCCCACCCGCCTTTTATTTTCTTAGACGGTAGGTTATTTGGCAAGTACTAGCCCTACCCACCCGCCCTTTGTTTTCTTAGAGAGTAAATCATTTGCCAAAATCGGTCTTATCGTAGCGAGTCTACTAAATTTTTCAGTTTTTCGATTATTCAATTTTCGAATTTTTCAATTTCTCGCTTTTTAAATCTTCAATTTTTTGATCTGTTTTTCGATTTTTGATTTCTCTGGGCAACTGAAAAAAACTTTCGAATTTTTAATGTTACAATTTTGACAGTTTTCCAATTTCTCAATTATTTGATTTTTAAAAATATCGAGAAAATAGATGTTTATTTTTTGAAATTTTCGATTATTGATTTTTTGTCACCGAGTTTTTGGAAGGGAGTAAAAAGTAATTTTGATCAGCGATTGCCATTTTTACCGTAACTTTAAAACATCTGATAATTTTGTTTCTAATTTTCAATTTGTGGATTTTTCGATTTTTCAAAATTTCAGTTCGAATAAATTTGTTCTTGTAGTTAAAAAATCAATAAATGACAAATCGTAAAAAGGAAAAATTTTAACTTGAGAGCTTGAAAAAATAAAAAAATCCAAAATTGTAAAGTTAAAACTTGAAAAATCAAAAGATTGGAATTAAAAATGCAAAATTGTCAAACAAATTATCAAATGAAATATTCAAAAGTTGAAAAATCTAAAAACTAAAAAAAATGAAAATTGGAATCTCGAATTCGATTTTATAAGATTTTTTTTCAATTTTTCGATATTTCTGTTTTTGATTTTCCTAGTAAATAGTTGTACAATTTTCCGATTTCTCATTTATCCGATTTTTCAATTTGTCATTTTTTGATTTTTTAGTTTTTTTATTTTTAGCAAGTACTGGCCCCACCCACCCAGCCTTTATTTTCTTAGAAGAATAAGTCATCTGCCAAAATCAGTCTTGAAAAGAACTTGAAAAATTAAAAATCGAAAAATTCCAAAATTGTAAAGTTAAAACTTGAAAAATCAAAAGATTGGAATTAAAAACTGCAAAAATTATTATCAAACAAATTATGAAATGAAATGTTTAAAAGTTGAAAAATCTAAAAACTAAAAAAAAATGAAAACTGGAATTTCGAATTCGTTTTTATAAGATTTGGTTTTTTTTTCAATTTTTCGGTATTTCAGTTTTTGATTTTCCGATTATACAGTTGTAGAATTTTCCGATTTCTCATTTATCCGATTTTTCAATTTATCATTTTTTGATTTTTCTTTTTTTTTAATTTTAGCAAGTACTAGCCCCACCCAGCCTTTATTTTCTTAGGAGAATAGGTCATCTGCCAAAATCAGTCTTACCTTAACAATTACTATACAATCATAATACAGAATTAACAAATCTTTAAATTAGTTTTCTATAATGTCAACGCATTTCATTAGAAATAGAAAATTGATATTTTTATTATCACCAATAATATTTTAATATTTCAAAGTAGAAATTGTTTGAATACCCCTCGGATTACACCCAGCTTTTTTTTTAAATTTGCATCGCCGCTGCCACTGCTTTTACAATATTTCTAAGACCAAACGAAAACAATGTTCTGAGCACTCCCACCAGCTGAACCCTTTCGTGATGAAACTTACTCTAACAAGTACTAGCCCCGCCCACCCGCCCTTTAGTTTCTTAGAAGGTATGTCATTCGCCAAAATCAGTTTTATCGTAGCAAGTACTAGCCCCACCCGCCCTTTATTTTCTTAGACAGTATCTCATTTAGCAACATCACCAATAAAGGGCGGATAGGCGGGGCTAATACTTGCTAAGATAATATTAATTTTGTTAAATGACATACAAGAAAATAATGGGTGGGTGGGCGGGGATAGGACTTGCTAAGATAAGACTGACTTTTTTTGGAAACAGGATATTTCAAAAATCTTGCTATTATTATTGTAGCTGGTCTTATAACGATTAGTCTCTAGGTCCCGATTATGTTAATTTATGTTAATTTGGTTAACGAAACATGCTGGCTTTTTGTGTCAATTTTGCTGAAAGACAAAACTGATGGACAACAGTACATATTTGAAGTATAGTGTCAGTTAACAACAGTGAATTTTTGAAAGATGGATAATCAAATAAAAAAAATCAAAAGTAGTCACTGAAGTGGAAGACAAAAATTGCATTTTGTGCTGAAAAGTGTGCTTATATCAGGTCTTGCACCTAACAAACTCTTATTTGCTCCTTTGTTGATCAACAAACATTATGTCCTTCAAAATGACTTCAGGTAATAATTTGACGCCATGTTTTCAATGTAATAAAAAAATAAATCACCAAATGATTCACAACAAATTTTGATAAGTGCATTATCATCATGACCAAATATGATCTATATAATCAACATATTTAAATGTAAATAACAATTAAAGTTGTGACTTACACAGATTGTTCCATTAACCCTACATCTTTCGACATTCCAAGACCATAGTAGCACAAAGCTCCCAGACCTAGCAATGCGCCTCCAGCCACAGCCCCCTGGCCAATATTAAACGCTACAAACAAACATTAGCACCCACTTACAAAAAATATCTTCAAATTTTACCTGTTTCTCCAGCTGGGGCCATCATCTTCTCCTTGATCGTTTGTCTTCTCGCAGCCCTCGCTGCTGCATCGCGGCTTTCGCTTGCATAATAACGCACCAAAGACTGTTTTGGAAACTTTGGCAGCTGTCGTAAAACTGCACTTTGTACAATTGGAGCCCGACAAACTAATCTGGCTGCCAACAACGAAGCCATCTCTACCGCGAAGAAAGTGCCGAAAGAACTACAAAGGTGTTAGGAAAATTGATCAAGGTCTGGGTTCCGGCAAAACAAACAACTGCAGTTGGAAAGTTCCAGAACAGTTTGAGGTTACAACGTGATGCAATATTTCAGCAACTAAAACAAAACCGATGTAAGCGAAACTAGTTGGGGGCAAGTCTTGTTTTAACTTGCAGCATGGCACTTGACAATTTTGAAAAATTTTAAAAATTGAAGTTGGATTTTACCTTTTCGGCTGTTTTTCTCGATTTTGACAGCTGACAACTGTCATTTGTTAAGCTAAAGCTGCATTTCCATAAACGGTAACCGGATATGGCAACCTAAAGGTGTATTTACACGTATAGACCGACGGTATCCGACGCGAATTTTAACGATACTGATAAAAAGCCAGGTGGTAAAAAAACTCCACATTTGATCATAAAAATAGATGTAATAACTTGTAACAGATATAAAAATGATTGTTAACACAATAAATATCCTAGTATAATAGTAATGACAGAAGTGAACACAACACAGTCCAAAATGCAAATTTGAAGAACTTACATAGAATATCATTGGAATATGAAAACATGTCATATTATTACACATACAATCAACTGTCTTTTGTACACTTTATACTGTGTGTTCTCATATAGTCTGGGGCTATTTCATATAACCAATCACTGTCTACAGTTGACAGTAATCTTAAATAACATTTTGTTGTTTGTACAACTTCAGTAAATAAAATAAAATGAGGTTGTTGGCCATGCAGAACGGAACTTGGATGAATAGAAACCACTTGTCTTTTGTCCAACTAAAATAAAAATCCCAATTAATTTATAGTGATCAATTGAAAAAAATATTCTTACTGTAATATATTGTCTATCCCTATGTAATTCAGCAACATTCATGAAAAGTCCAGTTAAAAGACACTTCCTAACTTGATCCATCTGACTACCACACGACGAAATTGTCATTCCACTTTTCCTACATATATCCTCCAACTGACATCTCACCTCCCTAGCTTGTAAAATATTCCTCATATTTATATAATGTTCATGACACCAACCTCTCATATTCTGCCCTACATTACTAAACTCTCTGTATATATTCAAAAGCGTAACATGATCACCAAACGCCGAAAAGAACTTCTGCCGCACACTATTGGCCTGTTCTTTTTTATTTGGCGGACTTAAAAGTATACTTTCCACACTTAACAGTGAAACCACAGTTAAGACCTCCTCTAAACACCCGAAGTTGTGAGCAGAAAGCAAGATCTTACTAAATCTGGGGTCAAGAGGAAATTTAACCATCTGTTCACCCAAAGGGGTTAAAGCTGTTGATTCAACTGAATCTATGGCACCTAATAATTTTAGTTGTTCAAACGCTGCCGTAATGGCATCCTCTGGAGGCTTGTCCATGAAATCAAAAAATAACGCGTGGATGTCCAACGCTAGAAGTTGTAAGGCGACAGAGGTTAAATTGGCACGTTGAATCTCTGGAATTGTGGATTTTTGCATCATTTCAAATTGAGAGCGGGTGTAGAGTCTGTAGCAAGTCCCTTCGGATTCTCGGCCTGCTCGACCCGTTCTTTGCCAGGCCTGTTCTTGGGAAATCCGTTGGACTTTTAGCAACTCTAAACCAGTGGCTGGATGGTAAGTTCTAAAAATTTTGGGTAATAAATGTTTAATAATAACTGGATTATTAAAAAAAATACCTTGCCTTTACCATTCCACAATCAATTATATATTTAATTCCAGTAATTGTAACACTAGTTTCTGCAATATTTGTACTGACAATAACCTTTCTCATGTTTTCTGGTGAAGGATTAAAAACACTCATTTGTTGAGTGGAAGGTTGTGCTGCATATAATGTACACACTCTAATTGGGGGTCCTTCCACTTCTGGATCTTTACCAAGTAAACGAATTTGGTGAGCTACAGCTTCAATTTCTTCCTGGCCAGTGAGAAAAATTAAAACATCTTGGCTAAAATTACAAAATAAATAACTATTTTTTACGTTGCTAAATATGTACTTAGCAGGCGCTTCTCTATGAATTTTAAAAAACGTTGCCACACATGCTGTTTGATAGTCATCATGGGGCCTAACTGTGTGAAATATATTAACAGGGTAGGTCCTTCCTTCGAGATAAACAGCTTGGCAATCATTAAAATATTTCGAAAAATGGTCCACATCCATAGTCGCCGACATAATAAGTATCTGAAACTATTAATTACAAAAAAGTTTGTAAAGTTTACACAAATTACTTTCAATGGAGCAAAATTCTTAGCCTCCCTAACTTTCTGAGCCGTTTTTACAATTCCAAACAATACATCTGTATGAATTGTTCTTTCATGAGCTTCATCCAAAATAATAACTGTATATTCCATTAATAAACTATCAAACATTGCTTCCCTCAGCAACATTCCATCAGTCAAGTATTTAATTTTGGTCCTCTTTGATGTGACATCTTCAAATCTAACTGTGTAACCGACAGTGTCTCCCACTTGTTGCTGCAAGTTAAAATATGAATTAAGAAATAAAATATTTGCTTTCTTAGACTTACCCCATTTCCATATTCCTGCGCTACTCTCATTGCAATACTGACAGCAGCCACCCTTCTGGGCTGCGTAATACCAATGCGCCCCTCGTTTTGTAATTTAGCCGCATTGATATATTGAGGTATTTGAGTAGTTTTCCCACTTCCAGTTTCACCCATTATGATTAAAGTATTATTCCTCCTAATCAGATCCAACAACTTATTCTTTTTATCATACACAGGTAGCTTCGTCCTCTGTTCTTGTATACTTATTTTAAATTTGTTGTTCCCGTTCATGTAACTTGATTTGTTTGATTCGTTCTCATTCAACTTAATTTTCTTGGGAGAAGGCGGTCCATTTTTTTTACTGAACAACACTGGTGTGGGTTTCGGTTTAATCTTGAATTTTGTAATGTTTAATTTGTTGTTTCCTATTAAATTGTACTTGGAGTCCATTTTCAAATTTTAGGTTATACACGTGTGAAAACTTTTCTGTCCAAACAAGAGAAATCATAAAAGTTACCGTGAACTGTTCAAACTAATAAATAAATCGCGCTCTGCACTTGCATTTATTGTTACATCGTATACGCACTAACTGAGACATTATTTTTCTAGCAGAAAAACAAAACATAACCTACATTTTTCAGAAAATCATTACTTGTTTGTGATTAAGGTTACACTGTTGGTGAAGCGGCTCCATGTTTTTCAATTTTCACACTAAACACTTTGAATAATGAAAAATACAACACGGTTGATAGTTTCTTAATTTAGCTAGGTTTATTTCTTAAAAGTTTTATTACTCCTGTTGTTTTTTTTTTATTTCTCGATTTTTTGAAAGCTGTGTTTCCTGATCCACATCCACATCCAGCGCGCTCCCAACTTCCATTTTGTGGTAGAGTTCTGTCAAAATCCACCAATCGCAAGGTGCAAAGCTGGCTAGATGTCACCACTTCAAAAGTAGCGCTCCCAATGATGATTAATTGAAAATGGCTGCTTGACCTTTTGGGAGTAAATATGATTTTTTTACGGTGGTTTGGTTAATATTTTTAAGTGTGTGGTGGTTCTTAGTGCTTCTTATGATTTCGAAGAATATCAGGGAAGTCTTCCGTGTATCTCTAATGCTCAGGTAAGTCGAGTCTTTACTTTCACCATACAAAGAAAGTACCAAAAGCCAGTTCAAATGAATAACGTTTTGACAGCCAGAAGTCGGCAGAAATTTCGGCTAAGATAATAACAATACAATTGAACGTAATGTTGCATTCAAATCGTTGGTTCTCACATTCACCATTAACGAATCCGTTCGAACAATTCGCAGTGCTTTCTTATGTTAGTTGACTGTCATTTATTTGTCACAGGTATAAGAAACTACACCACCATTTACTTACTTCCTAGTGAATGGTCACATCAATATCGAAAAGTTCGTTACCATAGCCTTCACTATGGAGTTGATTCAAGATGACGATCGGCGGAGGAGGCTCTGCCTCCTCCAGGAAAAGATTCAGGATCCGAGAGGAATTGCCAACATCGATTCCCTCTTGGATACTGTGCAAGCCCTACATACAGACTGCGATTATCCCGCCATGAGGAAAATTAAAAACATCGAAATGTATTTAAATAGATGTAAGTAATAGCGACTAGGTCATAAAAAAATTCTGTTACCGCTCCAAGATCATAATTTGCGATTTAAAGCAGATGCAGACACCTACAATTCTATAATTATCGAAATAAGCCATGGACGTTGGTATAAACGTGTTGTTGTTGTAGATGGTAGCATAAAAATGTCATTGAAGCTGTGGTTATAAGTTACATCAATGAAGTAGCTAATTTTGGTCACCTGAGCTATATTTATTTCATTAATGCATGTATGCTGCAATTTAAATAAGTGTGCCGTCATAAATCCATTCGGTACAAATTGAAAAGTGTCCTAAAAAATTTTAAACGCCCACGGTGTAATTATTAATCAGTTGAATTCCTGACAAAGGATTTTTTATTGATGCCAACTCTCACTAAGTAGAAAGAAAAGTGCAATCAGATGACTAATAAGGGGCATTTATTGCAAATGTTTTTGGTGTCTTTATTGTATTAATGAAAACAATTGTGTCACTGTTATGAGATCAACAGTAAATAATTTTGCGTGGGTATGACACAGGTTTTCCTGTAAATAAGTCTGTGGTGGAAAAGCTGCAGGAAGTAACTTTATTTTTGTAAAAATAAATTGTTAATATTAACAAATCGTAAATTTGCAGCTGAAGAATGTCATACAAGAGCATTATTAGGACGGAAGCAAAATTTCAGCAATGAAAATTGATTTATGGATAAATCCATATTTGGAATTATCCGCACTATTCCAGTTGATTGATCAATAAAAAATAAATTAGAACATTAGACGTCGATAATGTAATTTATCACATCCAACAGCAGTTATTGTCGAACCCACAAGTCTAATTAAAAAAATCCACCATTATGTTGAGTTATATTAGTGACAAAGAACATTCTCTAAGTAAAATTGTTTTTTAATGCAATCTTTTGTCGACTCGGATTTTGTATTTTTCTTTAATTAAAATAGACGCTCTATACTTAAATCAATTCTACTGTGATCAGCTGAACTTAAATTTATCCAAACCCAACATTTGCTATCGGTTTTCCTCAATGTGAAGATTTGTTATTAAACTAATTACTAAACGTTTCGTTTCGGGAATATATTTAGACGTGTGTAGGTTGATTGAAAAATTAAGAAACTGATTAAGCCGAACCCTAATCCAAACAAACAGAAAAGTCACTAAAAATTCCGGCAAAATAAATAGTTTCCTTTTTGTTTAGACACGATTCAACGATGTTACGAAATTATCGTCTAAGCGCAATAACAAATGGTGTGAGTAGAATTAAAGTACCGGGGTATCCGGTTCGTTATGTTTTGTTTGTGGTTTCTTTAATAATAACAATCATTACGGTAAAATTGTTATTTGTTGCCTACTCACTCCGATAAGAGGAATATTGTTGGGAGGTGATTCTAATTTATTTAAAAACAATTAATATCAACAATTAAAATTTTTATGTGGAGTAACACAGATCCGTGGCACGGTCACCCATATTTAATGTGTTTAGACCTACTCATTCGTATTTAAAGACGAAATCCTGCACTATTTAGTATTTACACTAGGAAGTAATATACATTTGATCTTCGGTGTAAAATTCGAGTGAGTCATAGTTTCACTCGCTCGAAATAAAGTGGGAACGAAATTATAAACTTCGGTTTTTAGTTGTTGCTGTATCGAGAATCATCACAAACACGGGTTTTAATAGAAAATTTGGTAAAAGCCAAGTTTAAAGATGTGTTGAATAGTCAGAATCAGAATCTAGAAATTTAAAAAAAAATCTAATTTTCAATAATAGATAGCTTGATCTAAAATCAGTTTGAAAACATTAAATGCAGTATGATGGAATTATATTTAAAAAAATTATGGTAACATTTTTAGATGAAAGACTGTATAGTAAGATTTCTGTCAATAAACAGTTATTTCTTGGTTTTTATTAGATGTTCCAAATACCATTTAAAATCAGCTGCATTTGTCTGTCACACAGTGAACTTTTTTTACCCATCGAACACTTCACATGATTCTAAAATGACATCATGGTACGTTTTTTAGCAACGGCTCTAAAAGAGTTATTTTTTCCTTGCGTTCGGTACACATAAATTATTAGCTAAGGTGGAATTTGGGTGATTGCCATCTTTTAAATATAAATCTTATTTGAAATAATTTTGTTTATCTGTTCACACGAAAGATCAACGAACACCGCAATTTACATCCGAAATACCAGAAAACTGTGGAACTTCAACTTAAGGGAAAATGCAAAAGTAGGGTATATTTTATCGCTGGTCGAGGTCTATTTATTTATAATAATATATTGCATGACACCAATTTTTATCACATATCGCTTGCATATTGAAAACCTGTCATCAAGTCCTCACTTCATTTGTATATATAATATATAAATTACAGCTGAGCGCTCGGTTTTTGAATTACAATTTTCAAAATTTTTGTATTTTGATTGAAATGATCACTTGGGAGCAAAAATTTAAGCATCAATAATAGCGTATGTGGTGTAATAGGTAGAAATATTGTTAATATACAATCTTCGCACCATATTATTTAAAAAAAATGTTACGTAAGTTTTGTGTGAATGTCTTAATTTCCTGTAAAAACTGAGGTGTTGCGATCAGTTTTAATATCGTATTCCTAAATAAACCTTTTTTGTAAAGTAATCTTTATATCGTCTTTAAACGAAGTCGGTGTAACTTATTTCTGTATATAGCATAGGTGTCCAGTGCCTCCAGGAATTCCACATGGTGGCCGTCGGATTAATACAAGTTCTACCGAGCGCAAATCACATTATAACCACTAATTAGAGTTCAAAAGTCAGCCGTATTTTTGATAAAAGCAACTAGGGACAACTGGTTGATTAGAAATGCATTATCATAACTACATTCATGGCTTATTATAAAGGAACTTTGTGATTGTTAATTATAATGTTTGTACCACTGATTGTTATTTTTTTCTTAGATGGTGACTTTGCGAACGAGGTCGTCAATCTCCGTATGAAAACCGATGATTTCGAGCATATCAAAGTAATAGGACGCGGAGCTTTCGGAAAGGTGCAGCTGGTGAGGCATAAATACACCCGGCAAGTTTATGCCATGAAACGACTGAGTAAAGCAGACCTGATCAAGCGATCAGATTCGGCATTCTTCTGGGAGGAGCGACATATCATGGCACACGCTCAGTCCGAGTGGATAGTCCAGTTACACTTTGCCTTTCAAGATGCCAAACACTTATACATGGTCATGGATTATATGCCCGGCGGGGACATCGTCAACTTGATGTCGAATTACGATATTCCTGAAAAGTGGGCAAAATTCTATACCATGGAAGTGGTTCTTGCCTTAGATGTGATCCATTCGATGGGTTTTGTACATAGAGACGTTAAGCCAGATAATATGCTTTTAGATAAGTACGGTCACTTAAAGTTGGCCGATTTTGGTACTTGCATGCGTATGGACGAAGATGGGCTCGTCAGGTCGAATAACGTGGTCGGTACTCCTGATTATATATCTCCTGAAGTGCTCCAGAGTCACGGGAAGGGGATTTACGGGCGCGAGTGTGATTGGTGGTCGGTGGGGATTTTTCTGTATGAGATGTTGGTAGGGGAGACGCCGTTTTACGCGGACAGTTTACTCGGTACTTACAACAAGATCATGTATCATGAAAATAATCTTACTTTCCCTGATGAAGTGGAAATATCTAAAGAGGCTATATCTTTAATACAGGGTTTATTATGTGATAGAACTAAACGTTTAGGGAGGAACAACGTCGACGAAATAAAGAACCATCCGTTTTTTATCAACGACCAGTGGACGTTTGAAAACTTAAGAAACTCGGCTCCACCTGTAGTACCTGAGTTGACGGGAGATGACGACACCAAAAATTTCGACGACTACGAGAAGGAAGAAACGTCGGAGGAAGTGTTTCCAGTGCCAAATAGCTTCATAGGAAACCATTTACCGTTCATAGGCTTTACTTATAATTCAGACTATCAACTCTTGTCTGATAGAAGAAGTGATATTGTAGATAGTGGCAAAACAAATCATCTCAACGACAAAGACGCAAATGCTCAAGTAAATAAATTACAGCAACTCTTAGACCAAGAAAAAAACACAGTAGAAGAACTAGAAAGCAAACAACGAATATTAATTGCTCAAATTAGTAACTTAGCTCAACGCGAATCCGAAATACGCGAAGAAGCGTCCAAGTATGAGAAAGAGTTGACGATTCTAAAGCACAACTTCAAAGAAGTGCAGCGCCGGGCCGACAATGAGAGCGAATCGCGCAAGAAAACGGAAAAATATTTTGCAGATCTCAAGAAAACGCTGGAAGAAGAACAGAACAAGCGCACCCGCGAAATGAACAACAACCAACAACACAACGACAAAATCAACATCCTGGAGAAGCAAGTCGCCGAAATGCAGGAAAAGCTGAAAGGCGAGACCGAGAATTGTCAGAGGTTGCGGAAGCAGACGACCGAATTGACGATGGCGAAGTCGGCTTACGAACAAAAGGCTGCCGAGTATCAAGCGATACTGCAGAATTTGCAGTCGCAGAGGGACAATTTGCAAGCGGAAGTTACCAACTTGCAGGAGCAGTTGACGCAAGAGGTCGCAGCGAGGACGCAAGCTTCTGAGGAGTGTCTGGTTTTGAAGAATAGGTACCAACATGTCAACGTTGAATTGGAGAGCAGCAGGCAGCGAGAGAGGAAAATCGTTGCGGATAACACCCAGTTGACTGAAAAGGTGTCCACTTTGGAGAAGGAAAATGCGGGATTGTGTCTTGAATTGAAGGCAGCTCAGAATAGGTACCAGCAGGAAGTGAAAGCGCATGAGGAGACGGAAAGGAGCAGGATGCTAAATAAAGAAGAAGCGAACTTAGAAGTTGTTAAGGGTATGTATATTTTTGGCAATGTATTGTGTAGTGGTTTTTTAGCTGGTGATGATAAATTTGATGGTAGTTGTTCTTTACATGCAGAACTAATGGAACGAATTATTAAGGGTAATTTTGGAGTAGTTTAGATGATTTTCTTTTTTAATTCATTTCATTTCGAATTATCGTAGGCAGCGTTTGATTTGTGACTGTTATTATTTTAATAAACAGTTCCTTTGGTGTGAAACACTTTTAAGAATAGATTGGCTTTTTTAACTTTAAATATAGCCGTACACGTTAAACCGTTTGATATGACTCAGTAGGTATCTATTGATTCATACCTACTGATGATAATACGCTGTATTCGTCATTCATAGTACAAATTAAAAAAAAAATGGAAAATGGGGGAAAAGGGAGCTACATGTACAACACAAATAAAACACTATTGAAACGAAAAAATACATATGTGTTATTTTTACAGTTTTTCTCTCACATAATTTTTGTGTTAACATATATTTCACTATAGACATATGTCGAGTATTGACGAAAGCTATAAAAAACAAAGAATGTATATTTTTTTACATATAGTAAATAAATAATTTCTTTGCAATTTAAGATTGAAAAAAATTGAGTAAGGCGGTGAAACAAAATCCATCCGCGTTCAAATTATCGTATAACTTTTGATTGAATTATTTTCCTGGAGAAATTGAAAATACAGCGAAAACTTACAACTTTTAAGTTGATCAGAAATAAAGCACTAAAAAATTATTATCAAAAGTAAACAGCTCCAAGGCTTTTGTTTTTTTAACGTAACCTCATTTCCATAAGCCATAAAACTGTACGGTAAACACATCGTTTCAAGATGCCAATAGAAAAAATATTTTAAGTATTCCTAGAACGTTATTTTTTAATCTACTGAAATTTCATTACCCTGTGAAGTTGAAGATGGCAATAATTGCGCAACAAACCCTAAACAACACTGCACCGGTGGCAGGTAAAATCTCCTGCCAGGACCGTACTTTGAAAATTTTATTGTTAATTTCCATGTTAATGGTAATGTTCCAGTTTATCTGTTCCACTGTAATATCTTAGTTACATGGAAAAATAGTAATTTGAAATTTAGAAGAGATTAATAGAAAGGAATCTATAAAATTACTGTGGAAGAGGTGTTATGTGTCTTTTGGTTCTTCCGGAAATTATATCAAATTTTTGGTTTCAAGTAGAAGAGAATATGTATGTTTTTTAGTCTATCTAGTGATTTTGTCCCCAATCATTTTTTGTCGTTAGATGTCAAAAACTTATTTTGCGTCCTTGTTCTTTTTGAGCAACTTTTTTTTTATTGAATATGGTTATGAAACATGACTACCGATTTTTACTTCCCGAGCGTAAGTGAAGGAAATATTGTAATCGAGTCCGTCGGCCGACTCTCTACTTTTACGTTTTCTCGACCTTTCATGACCCCTAGAGTGTTTGTCTGTCTCTCTGCCTGCCGTTCCGGATTTTTTTCTTAGTAGGGGAGCAAAGTAGCATTTGGTTTTTATCAACTTTGCAAGATTTTTCCTCCAATAAGAAACAATCATTTTTGTGTATTGTCGTCTAAAAAACGTGTGTACCTCGGCCAAAGAAAACTCTTTCAGCCTCATCTGATTTATAGGTCTCGACTATGTTTCGACCTCAAACTTTATCGGCCGCAAAAGTTGTTCTTTAAGGTCTTGATTCACAAATAACTATTGTAAGTGCGTTATATACAGTATTTTTACTTAAGGTAAGGAAGGATTATACATAGTAGAGTCCCTGGCTAGTTTCATATTTTCTTACCTCTGTCTGCCTGTTTGTCTGTCCAGATTTTTGTTAGAGATAATTTTCGAAACTTCTGAACCGATTAATGTTAAATTTTATATGTATGTTATGAATACCGTGTAGATAATAAAACGCTAAGCAAAATTTGTCTCATCACCCCCACCAACGATGGGATGACGTCATCTTCAAAATTTACAATATAACTGTTATTTAAATTTTATAAAATAGTATGCCTTGCACTTGTGGTTGTCCAGGTTGAGTTTTATAAACATTAAGATTTTTGGAAATGTATAACAACGTTTTGCAAATTAACATTAACACTGAGTGCTCTGATGAATTCTTGAAAACGTTTTAAGCATGGTAAAACGTTAATCAAAAATGATCGGCTTATCCCTCCCAATCAATTAATGACGTCATCATAAAATTAAGTTTTAACCTTGAGTATCTAGATCTTTGGAAAAAATCAAATTTATATAACAGTGTGTATTACAATTTAACTTTTAAATTGGAAAACCGAATGCTTTGAAATCATGCTAACGTTATAAAGTTAACGGAAGTTAATGAAAATTAATCCGTTTATCCCTCCCTCCACGCCCCAATTGAGACATTATCAAATTTTATAAAATAACATACCCCTGCACTAGGACTTTATGAATCCGTATTCAGTTTTAGCCTAGACGTCCAGATTTTTTGAACAAAAAAATCAAAATTGTATAGCAACATTTATACTAAACTCACTTGTCATACACCTTGTAAAACTTTGATGGCTTAAGCGGCTTTATTAAGCAAACCACCCTTAGAAGTCAAATTGGCTATTGTAAGCTTTGTGGACCCGAACCGCAAGGATTATTAGTGTCCATTGTTGGACATAATGGAGTTGCAAAGTTTTACTACGTATATGTCAACTAAGTTAAGTTATACAACAGCCAGTTTGACTTATAAGGGTGGTTTGGCTTAAGCCGCTTGAGTCGTAAACGTTTTACAAGGTGTATACAGCCTGTTATTGAAAGGTACGTACAAAATAAAATCGGCAATTGGTCTCGAAGTATGGGTGCTAAAAGTTAAAAAAAGTTTAGGTAAAAGTGTTCTCCCTTTAGAGATAAAAATTGTTAAAATTTATGTCCAAATTCGTTGTACGCCTCTGATAAAAAGATCATCTTTCGTTTCTATAGCAACATTTATTCTTGACAAAAGTTTTATTGTTACAGTTGCTAGGATTTACTAAAATTAATTAATTTTACCTATTTATCCTTCAGTAGCGTCTAAAAAGATTGGATAAGGGTTAATTTTCCCCTTAAAATTTTGATAAGACAAAATAAGTTTTTCCGACTTCTTAGACTTCGCGAAGAATTGTCCATTTTGTTGTACGTACCTTTCAATAACACCCTGTATATAAAAAAAACAAATTTTATAATTTTTCAAAAAAGCGGAGTTTGTTCGGCTGCATTTCAGGTGCGAGGGAAGTTCTGTCGAAATAACTTTTTTAGTTCTTCGGTGACGCAGTACTTGACGTGTAACTTTTTAAATTTTACTGCTTTAAAAAAAATATTTTGTCCGTTCCTCAGTTTACCTATTCCACTCGGATATCTGTATTATTTAAGAAGTAACAGTCTGAAATGTAAATTGGCACAAAAAAACGATCTAAAATCAGTACAGTTCAGGGTCACATTACCTTTAGTTTTGCAGGAAATGACACCTTTTTTATAGAAATTTAAAATTCTTTTTTTTTTTTCAGAATAAATGTACACTGCCCGACAAAAAAAAACGGACACTTGAATATTTGTAAATTTATGCAAATGTTTATAATAATGTATGTTTTCTATTAATGAATGCATTTTGATTTGCTTTTTGGAATATTTTTTACAAAAATTTGATCAGTTGCAGGTAAACACAAAAAATTGAAGTGTGTGAGTTTTTTTTGTCTGGCAGTGTTCATAATATTAATTGCAGTTTGTTTCACTGTAAAATTTCAAATGTTTGAACAAATAAAATTTTGAACCCTATGTGCCGTCAATTGACGTCATAAACTGTATAAAGCGGGTGTACTACAGAAATATATATACCGAAATTTAAGAATATGACATTTTTTTACCAATGGAATAAAGTATATTTTGTATGTTTTAAACAGTGTATTTATTCTCTTTTGAGTGATATAACATTTCGTATGTGTTCATACACTAATAAAAAATATGGAAAACTCTTAAAAACATACAATGTTCCATTTGAAATAAAAAATTTAGAGAGAAAAAAAGCAGCATAATTATTAATTGTTCCAGATTTGAAAGTATCTGAGGTGTTGTGAGAGTGGAACAAGTGAACAAAGATGCCATTATTATGATTTATTATATTACTACAATGAAAAAATAAAAAATCTTATTTAACGCGCTTAAAAACCACACATTATATTCGAAAAAAAAACGTTGTTTTTTCCGAAAAAATCAGTGGCGGTATTGATTTCATAGGTTTAATTAACCATTCTAAATTTCTTTTTTTCTTTTTCAAATAAGTGAGATAATAAAGTGGAACAAATAAACTACTACATCCGATATACAGAGTGGATGGCAAAAAGCGTTTTGGACTGAAAAAAATAATTGTACCCTTCTTGATTATGGTAACGACATTCAACTTTTTTATTTTAAATGGGCACATTCCCATTTTTTCGTTATTTTGGAAGAGTTTGCAATTATGCTGTACCATAGATCATGGGATTCAGAAAAAAAAACTCTTCCAAAATAGCAAAAAAAAGTTTCAGTCCAAAATGTAGTATTCATATGCCCATTAAGTTTGAGACATGATACATTGTTGTGCGCTACAAGCCGGGGCGCTTTTTGCCATCCACCCTGTATATCTATGTGTAGTGTCAGTTGCAACCCCTATATTTTCAACGATTTGTAACAGCAATAGTCACAATAGTGCCGTTCAGCTTCTCATAATTACGTAATGAAATTCAAGTGGATACAAAAATAACATTGTGAATGTAGATTTTGTGCGATAACCTGGAACTGTGGTACCGAAATTCGTTGACAACGAATTTGGTATCAGTATGATGTACGACACGCTTTTGTTCCATAACCACCCATTATAACTTTCTAATCATACATTGGAAACAAACACTATTTAGACGAAATTTGTTACACATATCATTAAACAAAGTCAGACCAATTGCTTAATTAACTTAACATCCAAAACCTACGGCAGAAAACTTAAGAACAAATTGCTTTTAGCCCTCCAGACAAAATTAAACGAAGAAAAAAGCGCGCGGCAAAAGGCCGATCTCAATTCTCAAGAAAAAGAGCGACAAATTTCGATGCTGTCGGTAGACTACCGGCAAATCCAACAACGTCTCCAAAAATTAGAAGGCGAGCATAGGCAAGAAGTGGAAAAAGTGAAAGCCCTTCAGAGTCAAATCGAACAAGAGCAACAGCAGAAAACCATCCTGCAGTCAGAAGTGGGTCAATACATTTCCGAAGTTGCTAAACTTAAAGCCAGAGAATCTCAACTTGCCATCGACATAAGTAATCTACAAGAGGCTAAAAAGAAGCTGGAGGACGATTTGTTTAAGTTGAAGAGAGACTGGCAAATGGAACAGCTTCAAATGAAAGAACTGCAGGACTCTTTAGAAGCCGAACAGTACTTCTCCACTTTGTACAAAACGCAAACCAACGAATTGCGGGAGGAGCTAGAAGAGAAAACCAAGACAAATAAAGAGTTTGAAGAAGAGTGTGCTTCTTTGAAGCACCAGTGTCAAATAGCAATCGCAAGAGCGGACTCTGAGGCTTTAGCGAGATCGATAGCCGAAGAAACCGTTGCAGATTTAGAGAAAGAAAAAACTATGAAAGAGCTTGAACTGAAGGACTTGTTGGCGAAACACAGAAGCGAACTTAATTCTAAAGAAGTTGCTGTTAATACGTTGAAAGATAGAGAAGTTGAACTCAAAAGAACAAACGAACATATGTCTAAAGACAAGGAAGAGATCAACAGGCAACTCAAACAGTTGCAGGAAGAGTTTAACAAGAAATCTGGAAACAATGAAGAGATCGAGAAACTGAAGAGCAAGTTGCAGACCGAATCTTTACTGAAACAACAAGCCGTGAATAAACTTCACGAGATCTTGAACAGGAAAGATTTGAAGGAGATCAAGGGCAAGAGCAAGATTTCGAACGCCGATTTGAGGAGGAAGGAGAAAGATCTGAAGAAGTTGCAACAAGAGTTGACCCAAGAAAAGGAAAAGTTCAACCAGACGATTAGTAGTTATCAATTGCGCATACAAGAACTTATGGTATTAATTGTATTTTTACTAAAAATCGTATATTTAATTGCTTGTTCTAGGTGCAATGTAGTGACGAAATTGCTTCCAAGCAGAGGCTACAGATGGAGTTAGACAGCAAAGACTCGGAAATCGAACAGCTTCAGTTGAAGTTGGCGGCTTTGAATAGCGAGACTGCGTCTTTGAGCTCCGCCGACAACGAGGGTGACGAAATAAACTCCGACTCGATGTTCGAAGGGTGGCTGTCGATTCCGTTTAAACAAAACATAAAGAGGCACGGCTGGAAGAAACAATACGTCGTTGTTTCGAGCCGAAAAATAATTTTTTACAATTCGGAAAATGACAAGCAAAATACCGATCCTGTGATTGTTCTTGATCTCTGGTAAAATCGGGGAGGTTTGAAACGATTTTGTGTGATTTTGATTTTTTAGCAAAGTGTTTCATGTGCGTTCGGTGACGCAAGGTGACGTTATTAGGGCGGATTCCAAAGATATCCCTAGGATATTTCAGTTGTTGTACGCTGGGGAGGGCGAGGCTAGGAAAGCCGACGAGCAAAGCAATTCTTTTGACTCTAGTACGATAAGGAGTCTTGAAGATAATCCTCGTACTACGATACATAAGGGTCACGAGTTCCTAGGTATTTCCTACCACATGCCCACAACTTGTGAAGTTTGTCCTAAACCCATGTGGAATATGTTTAGACCTCCGCCTGCATTAGAATGCAGAAGTGAGTGTCGATGAGTGTTTTGTGTTGTTGGGGGATTTTATGTGGTGGAATAATTGTTTGTGTTGTAGGGTGTAGGATAAAAATACACAAGGATCACTTGGAGAAGAAGGAAGACGCCGTTCCTCCTTGTAAATTACATTATGACCCTTCATATGCCAAAGAACTACTCCTGCTTGCTCCTTCAACAGACGAACAGAAGCAGTGGGTGTATAGATTAAGCCGAAAAATACAGAAATGTGGGTTTAAAGCCAACAATTCCAATGCCATAGATTCTGCTAAGATATCGCCTAGGTGAGTTGTGTAGTATTGGGCATGCACACGTAGCTGGTACGCTAAGCTGTCGGGTATTTACAGTATGTATACCTACGCTTATATTGCATATTCCAGTTTTATTATTTTTATAATAACATTTTACTTGATACACGATTGGTGTATTCTGCTATTCCATTTTGGTATGTAGTTCTTTAAGAACATGTATTTTTTTTATCGACATGTGAGACGTTGAATACTCAGTTTTATTTACTTCAAATCTTAGATCTATCATAGCTTTTAATACACACTGTGACTTTTTTAGTTTGTTAGAAGTAAATAAGAGTGAAGCTCCTCAGTGCTATTTGCATGCTTGGCTTGATACTAATTTTCTCCTATACATTATATGAATGACTGTATTTTTTTATTATGAAAGTAATGTTATGAATAAATTTTATGAAAACCGATTTTGTTTTTATTCTATTACACACGTGCATTGCGGTTGCTGCTTTTTCACTTGCTTGTGGGTCTGTTTTTATTTTTTCACAAGGTTAAGGATAATGCGTGTTACTTGTTCATCTAGCTCAAGTGCTTCTACTAAGTGTTCCTTCTACCTTAACAGGGAGTCAACTCGTTCTAGTTTGAAGCCATACCTGAATATCCAGCAACGATCTGCAACTCTGCCTGCTAATTCTTCAATGAGCGGCAAATGACGTTTGAGTTTTAAATTAAGTTAACTGTTCATGCTTCCAGTTTCATCACTAAAATTCTGATACAGTTTCAGTACTTGTTACCCTCTTACCACATCACTGTATCAAGCGCATCGTTTTCAAATCTTTGATAGTCTATTTTGTGGCACTAAATCTTAAGATGTTTAACAATAATTATAAACGTTTAAGAACATAGTTTCAACATCTAAAATGTCTCAAAGTTGGTTGCTAATAATGCTAACTCTTTAACTGTGACGCTGTACTAATTTTGTAAAGGTGCTAATTCAGATTTATTTTGTAAATTTTTTATGTGGATTTTTTCTAATCAGTGCTTGAGGTTTTTTTGACATGACATTCCCTTTGAGTACAGTAATAAACTTTTTTTATTTTAGTTGTATATTACTTGTTGTGTTTTTTTTTTTTTTTAGATTGTACAAATTATTTTAATGCGAATTCTGATTTATGTATAATTATGTATTTATTAATCTACCTTATTTCTATTTTTTCTATTATGAAATTGTGCCTTAAACATTCATTTGTGGTTACTACTATTGTACTAGCCGCAACACCAAGTTTTTTAATATGATTTTGGCAATTTAAATAGTAGAGTACATTTTTGCCTTATGTATTATATAAAATGTAAACCAAAATGGACAATTCTGAATAAATTGTTCTTATTACTGAGTACGAGTTTCATTCAAACTGCACACTAAATAAATCACTTTTATTAAACAATACTGAATAGATAATCATACTAATCTTACAAGTGGCGTATATAAAATATATAAAAACATAAATATGAATTCTCTAGTAGATCCCGCTAAAATAATCCGGCACGTTTCTTCAGTTCTTGCTGTTTCCAACGTGGCAGCTTCTCAAATTCCACGTAAGTCATTTTCAGTACAGAAACAAAATCGTCGTGAGTTAAATGCAGCTGAAAAAAAATAAAAAAAAGCTGTCAGAAGTGGGATTCGAACCCACGCCCTCAGAGAGGACCAGAACGCTCATTTGACCTGCGCAAGCAGGCAAGGTATACCTTGAGTCTGGCGCCTTAGACCGCTCGGCCATCCTGACTTGGTAATGAAGTCGGATTTCGTGCGTTATAAAGAACGTGTATGTCGCAATATAACGTAATTTTTAATTCTAAATGACGTAATATTTGCAAAAAAGGAGACTATTTTCACGCTTCTTCCATATTTTATTAAAATTTTACCAAATAAATTGTTTTAAAAAATAAAACTTCTATTTAATAATAATGAAACAAAAAGCTAATTCATAATTATTGATCGCACCACTACTAATATTTAATTAAAAGATCTAAAACCGTACAAATTTTGTGCCTTTTTTATATCCTCATAAAGGATTTATTTTTATACATTCGTTGAAAATAGCACACTTTTTATGAAGTCAGGGGGAGATTAACGCACATTGATAAAGTCGTGTAAATGTTTGTTGCCAACACAAGTCAAACAGTTTATACTGATTTTGCAAATTGTAATCGTTTATCGATTTTCTGCGTCAGTGTTGTTTTAATTTTACTAATATTTATAAATTCGAAGTTAGTTCTTAATTTACCTCTTTATTTAAGGGGTCTACACGTGCCGGCAGCTTTTCGTTCGGTTCTTTGAGGATGTTAATAGGATATTTATCATACTGGTCAAAATCACTGTGTCCCGACGACTTTTGATAACCATTTATTTCCTTCCCATTGCTTTTGGAATTTTTCATTTCGATATCCTGCCTCCTTTTACCAAACGATTTGTATCCCTAAAATTCAAAGATAAGTAAGATTTTAAAACAGTGCAAAAGTTTACAAACCTTCCAAAGCTTTTTATTCCAGCTTGGAAAGAACCCGATAAATGAGGGTGGTTCACACCCTTGATTTATATGAATTATGGGAATATTTATATCTCTACCACAAGGATCTAAAAACCCAACCCATAACGATTTACATAGCTACTCATTATGTATTTTACCAGTTTGTAAATATTCCAGAGCCATGGGCAAACTCTGTCTTTGGTCTTCTTTCGAGCTTAAATTACCAGTCCACAAATAAATAACAGTGAAAAAATCTAGAAGCATCACGTTCTCCGGAAGCAAGTCGTTCTGAGTGAAAAACAATATTTCTTCGGCTAAAACAAGCGCGAAATTAAATGAAATAACAAGAATATTTTTTCTGCACCTCTAAGCATGCCATTCATTTTCGTACAGTGGAACAGTTTCGGGGATTTTACATCTCCATCGTTCCTCATCAACTGAGTACTGTACGGTACTTTCCCCCCTATTAAATCGAAGAATTCGGACTTTTCTTTGCCCTCAAGAACCAACTCGAAGTCTTTTCCAGCAAACAACTTCGCCATTTCTCTTTGATCCCCAGTGGAATAGTGCCCACACCAAATATGGGCATGTTTACCTCGTTTAAGAACGTAGCAGTAATTCGAATTGAGATGGGACGACTTTGGGTGTATTTGGACCGCTTTGCTACTAGCTAAAGTCGACCCAAAAACGTGGAGAAAATATTGCAAGGGATGTTTAAGGTTCCGTCCTGACTCTACAACACAAACAATAATTTCGTTCTTGTTTTCGTTACAAAAGTACCATCAAAGTCGGTTCCTTTTCCTTTAAAAACGATCAACTTTCCTTTGAATAGTTGTAAAAAGTGTGACGGTTCGCGCCCTTGTATCACCCGAGCTAGGAACCCCAAACCTCCAAGCTCTTCATCAATCTCCATAACTTTCGCATTGGCAAAAGTAATTTCTTCTTGTGTGGCATGGGAACCCTACATAGGAAGTGGTTTAGGAAATACAGCGATTTTCACGCTCGAGTACACGACACTTTAAGAATTCAACTCACCAACCAGTAATAAAGTAAATGTTTTTCTTCCGCTGATGTTTGATAGTTGTATAAAACAATGTAACAATCTCCATTGAAAAAGAAACCGTGACGGTCTTTAGGAACCTCGACTATGTTGTGTTGTTTTATTCTCCATAGGGTCACACTTCCTGAACCATCATCAACAAGCTGGGTTTCTGCGGCCAAACTCGGACGCTCCTCCATAGTGACGGCGTCGAATTTCGACACCAAAACGGTGGGTTTAACACCTCGTCCAGGGGCTTTGTTTTCGTCTTTCCAGAAGGCGAACAGCGTTTTGAATTCGACTGGTTCATGTCCGTCGACAATTCTAGTAACTTTGGTGTTGTTAGGGTACTTCTTTTTTTTGACGAATCCACGAGCGTTGCGTAAGGCTTCACCGCGTTCTTTTTCGTTCGCCCTTTTTCCTACCCACACCCAGATTCCGTTGGTTTCTTGATCGATTATAAACACTTCCTGGAATTTTTGTATTAGACAAGGTTTTTCTGCAGCGTTGTTCTTACATCTGGTTCCAAATCGCTTTGCGACAAAGGTCCACTTTTTATTTCCGCCACTCTATACTTTCCATTGTTCTCTGAGCACTTGTAAAGACGTATATTGTTAGATCTTTGGCAAGAATTGTGCGATTGCGATTCGTTTTCCGGCAAAACGTGTCTTTTGTCTAATGGGAGATATTTGTTCCATTCTTTCTTCTCGTCGTCTTGGAGCGTCTTCTCGTAACCATCGTCAACGAAAGAAATATTGGGAATGTTGTACAGTTCTTTCATTTCCGTCGCGAGCTAAAAAATTGTATAAAAACGTTCATTGTGTTATACAATTTCACAGCAAACCGATCGTTAAAGTCGACTCGCTAACAGTACTTTCCTCAGGTGTCTACTTTAAAACGCATTATCGTACATCTATTGTTACCATGAGAACTTACTTTTGCCGCGTTGAGTTTTTCACCGGCGTCGGAAGCTCTTCCGATCCAAACAAATAAAACGTTGGACGTGTGTAGGAGAAAAATATCAGCACTATTAAACTTGTCCCAGGAGACGTTGTCCATTTGAATGAGAATGGGGGCACATTTTCCCTTAACTTTATACAGTTTTGGCAAACTCAATAAAGAAAATTCCGACGTTAAGACTCTACAAAATTAGGACACTAGTGTTTTGCAATTTTTATGAAGCAAATTACTTTAGTCCGCTCTTGAAGTAACTCTTAAACCTTGGGCTTTCATTTCCTTGTGTTTCTCGGTGTTGTGTTGCTGTTCCGGTCAGGAAATTGTCCAACTCTACGGTTTTGTAAGCCGCAACGCCGGATTTGTCCGGGGTTGTAGAGGAGCCCAGCCAAAAGTGGACGTGGTATTCGAGAGGAGCGCCTCGGACTTCTCGAGCCTGGAATGGTTTGTCAAACGAGAAATTTCGGGGAGGGTTTTACTTACTACTGAGTCGACACCAACGGGTTGTCCATAAAGCGAAGCAGCGAAAATGACATAAGAGTCGGTGTCGTAAAATGTGCCGTATTGTTCCCGGGGTATAGCAACTACGCTCATATTCTACAATTTGATGATTTTTTAGTTATTTAGTTAATTTAGGGATTAACTTACTTCAATGCGCCATATTAGGAAAGCTATTGAGCTTTTGTTGATTTTGCGGAAAGCTATGTCCACGGAGTTGTTAATTGTCCCGTTGGAATAGCTGTCATCCTGGGAAGTACAAAACAGAAAATAAGTATAATTGAGTATAAAAAAAAAATACTTTTCGTAAGAAATAAATAGTTATAATTTTAAAATTTCCAAGGATCAGAAAATTTTAGTACAGCTTGCTCTATTTTCTCTTAATAATGAACGGTATATGATCTTTTTTATTTAGTAAGAAAAATGGATAATTAAATCTTAATGAAAAGAATTATAAAACCTGAATATAAAGTAAAAACTTATTTGAAAAATTATAAGAAATGTCTTAATTAATGAAGTCCTTTTCTCGCTCTGGAAGTAAAAAGCACATACAGATATCCAGTTTTATGTATATACTATGAATTGCATATTTTTCTTCTAACAATAAAAACGATATTGAAACTGTACAACATATAGGTATCATGTCTAAAGGCCTACAGCATGCAATCGGTGTTACATTCTATAAAAAATGAGCGATAATAAAGGATAAAAACGTTAAGAAAATCTTTTTTTTTTCACTTGAGCTGGAGGAACTTAAAATCCCAAATCCAAAAATGTCGTAAGCATCAAAATATTTAAAATATGAAAAAACCCTCAGAATGTCAAAAAGGTCTAAAGACCACAACGTTGTTCGGGAGCGTTTATGGAGCAAAAAAAAATTACAAATTTTGTACAAATGGAGAAGATATAACCATTCAAAGTTTAATTTTTCCCTTCGAAATTTCACCATACTTTTATATATATAGTATGTCTCCGAATTGAGTTCAGAAAAGGAAAAAAACTTTGTTTTCTGTATATGTAACAAAATAAATGACAAAGGAATAATATTTTTTGCTTAATTCAAAATAAATAAATTTACAATTAAAATTTAATATTATCACGCTGTGTCCTTAAAATCGAAAAACCAAAAGTAAGGAAAGACTTTTTTATTTTTAATTTTACAAAAAAAATGTCCTACATTCATAGCAATTTCTACTATTCGATTAACCCACCACCCTTTTCAGCACATAATTCAATTCTAACCCGTAATTCTTTCAGTTAATTCTTTCCTCTTATGAACTCAATCCAAGGACATACTGTATATTCACTATTTTGTGTTGGGTACCTGAAATCGATCAGACCTTCATTATTCAAAATAATTTTGAAGGGTTCTTGTCTATATCCATCGTATTATTCATTTTATAATATTACAATAAGCTCAAAAATTGTTTAGGATAAATATGACAACAGTGTGCAATCTAAATCGATATTTTGTTTTTGTAAGTGAAAGTCAAATTGACGTATAGAATTTTTTAATGATTTTTGTCGAACTGTGAATTTAATAATGTTCATTGAGCCATATTTTGAACATCCTGTATATAAATATACGGATGCGTCACTAAGTGTGCGCTCCTCGATATCTCATTAATTACTATTATTAAAAGTAGAAAAAAATCTAAAGTTGTACAGTTCTTTAATGACCATATACCAAAAGTTATTTTCAACTATACAGAGTGTTCTGTTTTTGAGACGTAACACACAATTTTTAGTGTTTTCAAATGTTTTCTTATGCTTTATAACAGTTTATTTTCGAAATTCTGATGCGACGGTGCCAAGTTATTCCAATTTTTTTTAAATGTTTAAGAAATGAAAGGATTCACAAAAAAATGCAATATTTTGTGGAGAGGTAAATACAGCTACACGCTTTATTGTGGTATAAATAAGATTGGGTTTAATACATAGAGTGTTTCTAAAAATAAATGATGCCAATTTTTAAATATCGATATTCCAGTTTTTTCCAATAGAACACCTATATTTTAATACTGCATTCTTATTCTGTTTTTTGTTTTCTTTTTCATCGACATATTGAAAGAAAGAAAACAAAAACTAAATTAAGTTGCAGTAATAAAATGCAGGCTGTTCTATTTGAAAAACTGAAATATCGGTAGTTGAAATTTGTAAACTTTATTTTTTTATGAACACCCTAAGAATGTATTAAAATTGTATTTAATTGATACCATAACAAAGCGTCTGCCTCTGTTTATCTCTCCATAAACGACGCAGATCTTGGAAATAGCGTGGCAACGTTGCATCGAAATTTAAAAAATAAACTATGGTTATAAAGCCTAGGACGAGGCTAAGAAGAATAAGTAAAGTTTGTCTAGAATTATAAGAATTTTATGGACTCCCAGAGTTAATTCGTTTTACAGCTCTGTGGTTTTCGAACCGCTGCTTTTCCAAGAAATTTGTATAGTTTGGGAAATTTCATTCTACCCCATAAAATTTTATTGACAATAGCGAGACGGACAGTGGTACAATGGTAAAAAATATTTATGGCTCAGACCAGTGCATCCGAATTTGTCGGAGAACAATTAGCAGGTAGTTGTACTCATAAAATTATCGTCATTTTCGTTCGTGAGTAACGATGGTCCCTGTCCGGACCTGGATTATTCTGCTTTCTAACATCTGGGAATTACTGGCACGCGACAACTTCAAGTTGTAGACATCTCTTGCTATTGTACTACTGTCCGTCTCGTTATTGCCAATAAAATTTTATAGGGTAGAAAGAAATTTCCCAAACTATACCTGCCTGCCAGACTGCCCGGCGCGGGGCGAATTTGGGTGCAGTAAATATCGGCTTTCCCCTGACAGGCTGTACAATAAAATTTTAATAATATATATAGGGCATCCCATTTCAGAAAACTAAGTTGTGTGCTATGCCTCGAAAACAAAACACTCTGTATAGTCTAAAATAATTTTGGTGTATGCTACTGAAAGAATCATACAATTTTAGTCTGTGTCTTTTTTTCTATCTCTATAATAATAATTATTATTATTAATTAATGAGATATTGAGGACCGCGCGCTTTGTGACTCACCCTGTATCTTCATTTACTGAAATTATTATTAAATATTTAATATTTCAGCTCGTTAAACATGCCAAAAATAATAATAATGTGAAAAACAAGAAACGTAAACTATGTCACAAGAATGACACATTTTTTTAATAGTACACAAATGTCAAAATTTTGAAAATATCAAAAATATCGTGCAACTGTGAAAAATAGAAGTTATGTAGGTAATGAAAAAAGGAAAATGTAAAATTCAAGGTTGTCAAAAATATTAATAAGACAACAAACTTGTAAAAAATAGTAGTAATACATAATATGAAAAACTAAAAAATTAAGAATGCCAAAAACGTGACTATTTTTTCAAATATTATTCAAATGCCAAAATATTGAAAATGTTTAAAATACCAGAACAAAATTTTCACGTCACCACAAATAACGAAAAGAGAAAAACTGATGTTTTGTTGTTAGAAACAGTATAGCAAAAGAATCTCATTATTTTCTTAGAGGCTATAGCATTTGCCAAAATCAATCTTATCTTAGCGGAAACTAAACCCCGCCCACCCATCACTTATAAAGTAAGTGATTTGCCAAAATCAGTCTTATTTTAACAAGTATTAGTCCCGCCCACCCGCCCTCTATTTTCTTAGAAGATATGCCATTTGCCAAAATTAGTCTTATCTTGGCATGTATTAGCCCCGCCCACCCGCGCTGTTCTCATTCTGACAATTTTATTCCTGTTTAGTTTAATTATATGTTCTTCTGTAGAGGGGGACTAGGAACTAATAGAACCTAGCCTCTAACAGGAAACAAAAAAGAGCACGAATCATATTTTTTTTGTTACACTAATTACTATGAAATTTATTTTTTATTTCAAAAGCGAAAAAATGGGGACGGGTGGGTGGGCGGGGCTAAGTTTAACTTTGTCCTACGTAAGCAAGTAGTAGCCCCGCCCATCCACCCTTTCTTCATTATGGTGACTACTCTGCTGTTAATTAATAACAACATTATTCTTTTACTACAATCTTAGGCAAATTCGTTAAACCATTGGTAAAAAAATAGATAAATTGTTAAACAAAATATTCAGAAATTATTAAGCTATAATTATAAAAAAATACTGAGTAATTAAAATGGAATAAGAGTGGGTGGGCGGGGCCAATTTTGGCTTTGTTTTAAATCTTAAATTCTACCGCTTGTCAAAATAAAATTCAATGAATAAAATATCAATTACAGCGGTCAATTAAAACCTTCGAAATTTTCCCAAATATCGAAATTGTTATTCTCATGATATCAGTTGACATTAAAAGTAACTATAACATATTAAGAACAAAATAAAATGTTAATTAAAATTACAATTTGTCAAAAACTACGTAAGGGTTTTTTTTTTTTTTAATTTAGAGAATATTAACTAAATTTTATTTATTTATATTCTCCAGAAAATCAATAACGTTTCGAAAAAATGACAAATGATAGTTGTAATTTGTTGAAGAATATTTCCTAAGATGTGGCACTGCATAAGTCCTACAATTAGTATGCTTTTAGGTACACATATAGCATGAGTAACGTAATTCATGGTCGCAGTTGGCTGAGTTTCATAAAACGTATGTCGGTAGTTTTTAGACTCATAGCCTATTTCTCTTTAGATGTTAAAAATTTGAATATAAGCATAATAACTGTGTCAACTCAATGACTTTTTACACAATCGTAGCGATCAAGTATAGATTCAAAAGTTTGTTTCCGGAACCTCCTGCGATCACGACTTACGTTGCTCACCCGATAGTATATTGCACAGTTGAAAATCTATTTCTTTATGTATTTATCCCTAGAAATTTATATTAAAAATATATCTTGAAATCATCAAATAACCTATATAGAAATTTGTTTGCTCATCCTAGTCAAAATTTAATGACGTCATCTCAAAATTTTGCTACATAAAAAAATATGCTTGTAATTTATTGTTTTCTAACCTTCGATATCTAGATTTTGGAGAAAAATCGAAAAATTTTAAGTTGTTCAAGGAAATTTAAAAAAATTATTTTAAAATATGTAAAATCGGCTGCTCTGAAATCTGGCAAAGACTGTAAGATTAATGTCACACAGTAAGTCGCTAATCAAAGTGTATCTGTTTATCCGGCCCAAAAAGTTATAACGTCATCTCAAAATTTTGGATGATAAATTGTATCTAAAATGGACAATATATTATGCGTGTGTACTTGTGGTTTATCAGTACATTCATTTTTGTAACCCTAAATCTGTAAATTTTTGGAAAAAAATCAAAATTCGACAGCAACAACTATCTAAACTCTGTATTCATAACAGAGTTTGACAATCAGCTGTACTGATTGGAAATGAGTTTTTAAATTATTTGTTATAATTTACCATTAAACGAAAACTTAAAACACGTATAATTTTTTTATTTACCATAATTTTTTCCTGGTTTCTGTATTTTCACTTTTAACAACTGCATGGTCGATGATGTTGACTATAAAACCAATGATTTGGAAATATGATAACTTGATAACACTATCAACGCATAAAAAAAATAACGCATGATTCGCATAAAAATCATAGGGGGGTACTTAATTTTGTTTAGCACGGTTTTTAGTGTAACTTCAAAAATACACATCAAATTTGTTTAGAACAATCAAATAACTAAATGTCATTAATTTTGACATAATTTTGGAAAACCTTTAAAAATGTAACGAACGGTCTAATGTCTAGAATTTAGTGTATATTCAAGCTTAAAAAGTGTTTAGTGTGTCTGAAAAATTAATCTTCATCTAGGTAAGTTTTTAATAAATTACCCATAAAAATTTTGTAAATACCAAAAATACAAAAATAAAAAAAAAAAAATTAAAGACCTACATAGTCGGTTTGCTGCAGCTCCAAAATCTGCATTTTGCTGATAGTTCATTCACAAAACCACTTCACAGTTCAGTTTAAGCACTCACTACCACGCTCCTTGCATGATCTCTTCGTAGTAAATTTTACAAGATATCGTTAGTTGCGGTTATAATTTTCCTTCACGTCTTGACATAGAATGCGGACAACAACCGGCAAATCGCAAGTTTCTTCAAGATCTTTGAAGTGAGTGACCCCCTCCTTTCTTCCGTGCCAGACATGACTTTTACAAAACGGTCTAGTAGTCACATTTCGTTAACGACGATCAAATTTTGTTCTAGAATCGATAATTCTACCCGGAATAATTGCCATGACCAATTTCATTAGCACTTTCAAGTGGTTCGTTATCGGAAAAAATTTGTTATGCAAGAGTTAGTACAGTTATCCTGAAAGCTGGACGTGCGTAGATATTAATCAGCAGAGCAAAAGGAAGAAAGTTCGTTCAAGCAATCATTGGGTGCTTTGGTCCTTGAAAATAATTCTGTTTCTTGGGTGGTAACTGGTAATAGTGTAATTACTATACTGTAATTAGAAAAATGAAAAAACTGTAGCTAGTGCGTACCTAACAGTTAAATGCGTATGTATATTGCTCTGAATTAGTAATAGGGGAAACCGAGGACATGTATACCATTTTTTTGTGTTTAATTGTCTTGTGTGTAAATTATGGATAGCATGAAACGGAACACAAAAAAATCTTTAACAATAAAATTGTGGCGATGGCCAAAGATAACGGTAACACATCAACAATTTGCCAAATTTAGGCGGTTTTTACTTTGTCATTGTGTAAAATGAGAACGTGTTTGTGCATGTTTGAGGACGATGAGACAACCAGGTAAAGGTCGTTTGATTAAACAACAATAATAAAATAAACACACAATTATATCCAACTAATTTATTTTATTTCCGAAGCATGCCAGTCGTGTGGATCTCGAAATTTATTCAATAATTTTGAAACCACGCTATTAACAATGTAACACCAGTCATAACCTGACTGAAGCCAAAATTTTTTGGGAAACTAATAAAATTTATTGCTTTATACATTATTATCTTTTACATCAGGTGTAAATAATTCTAAATAATCTCAGAAGAAACGCTGATTGGTTAGAATGCTAAAACACAATCAGTACCACATTATGTATATCGCGTGCTTCTCGATATCTCATTCAACATTAAAAAAATATAATAATAAGACTAAAGTTGTACGGTTCTTTGAAGACCCTACACTAAAATTATTGTCAACTACACAGAGTGTTCTATTTTTAATAAGGCGTAACTCACAGCTTAGTTTTTTCAAATGGAATATGCTATATATTGTTACATATTCTGATTGACCTCGTCTAAGACTTTATAATCATAAATCAAGATCATTTTTGAAATTATGATGCCACGTTGCCACATTATTCCAATTTTCTTCAAATTTAGCAATGGAAGGGTTCACAAAAAATCGCAATCCAGTTTTTTTGAGACACCCGATATATTGAAAGAAGGAGAACAAAAAAATACAGTAAGACGCAGTAATAAAATACATGCTGTTTGAAATAACTGAAATATCGATATTTGAAAAGTGTAACGTTTTAGGATTTTTTATAAACACTCTGTATAATAAATGCTTGTATAAATTTAATTGATACCACAACAAAGCGCGTATAAGGAATTCACGTTCGGTAGATGTAACTAGATTTGGTAACTTTTTTTTTTAAGCTGTGTAACATCGGACATAATTGTTCTAGTGTATAATGTATTACTGGAATGTCAGAAAGTAGGTATCAAAAATGTGACATGTAAGTAAGTAAAGGTCAAATATCGAAAATGTGATGGTTTTGTGGTAATCTGGTGAATCTATTTTTGAACGAAGGAGAAAATCGCATCCCTCTAAAAGCCCAAAGAGCGACCCGCATGTAAAATTTTGAATCTTTTCCCTTCACTAGTTTTTTTAGGAGGACAAGCTTTGATGTCATCATCATGGATCCACAATTTCACCATGGATCCGTTCTGGTATATCCATGTCTCATCCAAGAAAATGAAAAGTAAATCTTCACCACAATCACGCAATTGGAGATAGGTACCGCCTTAGAAATTTGATTCTGGCAGCTATAACGTGTTTAAAATGTGAAAAACTTCGCCTTCGGAAACCTAAATTTATACGTGTATTACGTACAATTATTTTCAAAGCCGAGTGTTTTACCTCTTACAAAACAATAACGATTATATAAAATTTAAAAACCAATTGTAGAAAGGAACCAACAAAGCAGTCTTTCTGATTCTGATTATAATATTAACGGCACAAGCGCCGCTGTATCTGTATTATTTTAAAATTCGGAAAACACTCGACAACACTAGCGAACTTTACGGAGAATATTTCTGCCACCAGTTTAACTGTTTCCGTTTTACCCAATTTTTTGAAAACCACGAAATATTTCTTGTTTCTTTTCCTTTAAAATGAGCTTTCTCGTGATTACTTTTATGTAAATTGTTTCCATGCTGTATTTAAGGATTTTCTTGAAACGAAGCGTGTTGAAATTAGAAAAACTTCGTTTTTTTTCCACACAATTCAGATTTGACATTTGAATTAGAAAATTAGACAGTTGATGCCAATCTTAAATTTCTAGTGATCTTAAGATTGCAACTTAACCACAGAAAAGTTTCTGTCAGTTACTTCTACCGAACGTGAATGCTTATTAGTTTTGTTTATTTCTCCATAAAATATTTCAACACAAATCTTAAAAATTGGTCGAAGGTTATTTTAACAGAATTTCCCTCGCCTCTGAAGGGTAGCCACTTTTTCGAAAAATTCTACTTATTTTTTTTGCAAATTTTGTTTTCTGATGACCTCTATAAAGTAAAATACGGTGGCGTACCACAGCTTTTTTGAGTTGAATTTTTCAGTTCTCCAGTCTTTCATTTTTTGTTTCTTCATTTTTTCGATTTCAAATTTTTCGAGGTTTCAACTTTTGAATTTTTCAATTTATAGATTTTGCAATTTTTCCAATTGAGTTTCTCGAGTTTTCAATTTTTCATTTTTTCATTTGCAATTTTTCGTTACAGTTTTTTATTTTCTTTATTTTTACAATTTTTCAATTTTTCAATGTACCGATTTTATAATTTTTTGTTTTTTTAATATTTTCATTTTTAAATTTTCCAGTTTTTCGATTTTCCAACTTTAGAACGTTTCAATACTTAGATTTTACAGTACAGTCCAAAACTATTGAATAATATATTGACACTATGTTTTTGTTATATCTCTTGTTCTATGTGCGAAAAAATTGTTGAAAGAGAACTATGTACATAAAGAAAAAAAAAAGATTAATTCTCAATTGTGATGCGTTTTTCATTCTTAATCAGACCGAGGGGCGGAGTTTAATTGTAACTTCAAAATTCTCTAGAAAATTCTACCCTTTTAAAAACATATTTCATATGGAAATTTCTTGCAGAGAAATGAGGATTTTGCAATAAAGCTCCACCCTTCAGCCCACGATGAATACAAAATTCATCACAATTGAGAAGGGGTGGGTGGGCGGGGCCTATACTTTGACCATTTTTTCTTAATTTACGAAGTTTTTTTTTTTCAACAAGAAATTGAAAACATGTTAACTATCCTGTTGAAAAAAAAGCTCTATATATTAAGAAAAACAAAGATTACTCGGATAATTGAGAAATCCAAAAATTGCAAAATTGAAAATTTTGAAAATTGGGAAATCGAGGAATTAAAAAATGAAAAATTTGAAGAATGAAATAAAGGAACGAAAAATTGTACCATCGGAAGAAACATTGAAAAAATAAAGGAAGTGAACCGAAAAAATGTGAATGAAATCTAGAAAATGCAAATTAAAAAAATCGGGAAAATGAAAAATAAAAATAAGGAATTCCAAAATTGAGGAAACAAAAACTTGAAAAATGGAAAAATTAAAAATTGAGAAACTGAAGACGCGAAGAATGAAAAATTAGAACATCGAAAAATTGCAAAATTGAAAAATTTCTAGAAACGATGAACTGAAAAATCTGCAGGCGTGAAATTGAAAAATTGAAAAAAATAGGGTCGGTTTATGGAAATTGAATGAAATATTGAGTCCTCGATTTATTAGGATTAAAATGTGGTATATGAGATCGTGATTGGTTAAAACATGCACGTTGCATAGCAACGGACCTCAATTAAAATTAATGGCGATTAACTTAATTCGCTTTCCACAAACCGGATCTTAAAGTTGTAAAAACGAAAAATTGGTCAAAGATAAATCCAGATTTTTTGAAAAATTATAAGATTTGATTTTACGAATTTTATTTTTTATGATAACGCTTATAAGTTAAAATAAAAATGTATATGTAATGATGATTTCCATACCTCCTGAACTCTTGTTGTCAAATATTATAATGTAATGTAAGATTTGTCAAATCATCCCCACATCAGAGTGTACTGTTTTTATGGAGTAACACACAACTTACTTTTTTTAAATGAAATACCCTATATATTTTTACATATTTTGATTGACTTCATTTTAGGTTTTTACTACCTTTACTTTTGAAATTCCGATGCGACGTTGCCATGATATTCCAATTTTCTTGAAATTTGTTGGCAATGGAAGAGGCAAAAACATCGCAAAAGCTTATTTTTTATTAAAGTTTGTCTTACAAATTTTAATATACAGAGTGTTTATAAAAAATATAAAACTTTACAATTTTCAAATTTCGATATTTCAGTTTTGTCAAATGGAACATCCCATATTTTATTACTCTATTTTTTGTCCTCGTTTTTCTAATTTGTCTTTCTTAAAAAAGTAAAAAATTGCAGTACCTAGCAACTTTAAACATAGAAAATACTCAACAAAAAGTAAAGAGAATAAAAAACAGATTAAGATACAATTATAAAACATGGGGTGTTTTATTTGAAAAAATTGAAATATCGATTTTTGAAAACTGTATTAAATAAAACATTTTTATAAACACTCTGTATACAAAAATTGAATCTCAATTATACCAGAACAAAGTGTGTACCTTTCTTCATCTTTCCACAAAATGTAATAAGCCTACTGTGATTTTTTTTACGAACCCTCCCATTGCCAAAAAATTTCAAGAAGCTTGAAATAACCTGGCAACATCGTATCATAATTTCAAAAATAAACTGTACCAAAATTGTAGAACAAAATTTTTAATTTAACTTAGACACTACGA